CAATACAAGACGCAAAGGTGAGGAAACTTCTCAAGAAGTGACGACTCACCTAATGATTAATTCCCCCAACAGTATGTGACACACCCACTTTTATTCATGACGTCTATATATGACGGTCCAGTTTATATACGTTATAAGTCGACTGCTTCGCTGGCCGAGTGGTCGCAAGTGCGATTGCCAGGCAGTCTCGGATTCGATTCCCGTGTCGGGCAAAAAATTACTGGGTTTTAAAAAAAATCGCAGTGGTAGCACGGAGTCTGGAATTGTGCCAGGTATATGGCAATAGGCTCACCCCTTTTTACATGGGACTCATAACATAAATAGTGGAGAGTGGGTGTTACATAGTACAGTGGCATTAAGTGCAGTAATGTGAACCTCTGCCTACCCCTTCGGGGATAAAAGGCGTGATATTATGTTATGTCGTATAAACGAAAGAAGTGCCTATCGAAATAAGAAATACGTATCTGAATCTAAATAACAATTCTGTGTTTGCTTTAATAAAATAGAAACCACTTTTTATGCTCAACAGTTGAACTTTAAACTGTCAAACACCAAGCAGTCACCGGTGACCGCGACCTATTGTTCTTTAATTGTGTCTATAAAACCGGTACTCGACGAGTTAAGAAGGCCATCAGTACAAGTTTATTACAATTAAAACTTGTCGATAGTCTAAAACCGACCATATTTTGATAGAGACAAGAGTTTAATTATGAGTTCCATAAATGTAATTGAATTGCTGCCAAGTACATGAGTGACAAAGGTACATGTAAAAAGAATTAACCTTTATCTAATATTTAAGGTTAATATTTCAAATTAATAAAGCTTCAATGCAAATAACTATAATATGGAATAAAAAAATCTAACTCACGTGCGTCGCTTATAAACCGGTCCGACAAAATTGTAGGACGTAAACCACGACCCACGGCGTTTACGTTAGGGAATCCTTATAAGGTGAACTAACTTGTTTCCAAGTAGAAAACTAATAAATATACTCTTTACTAATAAATATCAGTAATTCACAGGTCACTGGTAGAGAATTCAAGCGTGAAGTTACAACAAATTAATATGGAACAACGGAACTAGTTTCGCGAAAACCTCAACGCACAATTATATGAAAACTTGATTCGATGACTTTTATAGTTATCATAATTATTTAAATGGCCCCGGAAACATGATATATTGCTAAGGATTTTCCTTCGTTAACGATTTAACAAGAAAACTGATGTCATTTTAATTAAATAATAGAAATCGTATAAAGTTATATATATATTAATTACTAATAAATGGAAAATGTTTTTAACTTACATTTCAATCTGACAAAACGTAAGTAAAATGAAGATTTTTAACTCTTCAAAGGTTTTTTAAATAACGTTATTCACTAAATATTTGATTTAAAAATTGCACGTTTTTCTTCGACTTGGTTAGTCTAGTCTTGATTGCAGTGCTATTTTAGAAGATGTATGAATGGGACGCGACATTAGACACTGGCCTTGAGGAGGCTTTGAACTACCTAATCATTATTTAGTTCTCGCTAGTTGCTAGCCGAGTTCCAAAAAACTATGCGTCATTGATGTGTGCCTCAAAATCTAATGAACTCGTTAAATTCTACTAATACTGTAAATGCGAAAATTTGTGAGGATCTATGCGTGTGTGTGTTTTTGTTATTCTTTAACGTCAAAATGTCTGAAATGATCGAAATGAAATTTGGAACAAAGGTAGATTTTTTTTAAACATACTTATCGTATTTTTTTTCTGATGGCACACTGTGTCTCTTGTTTTTATTACATTTCCTGTCTCTTGTCTACTGGAAGAAATTGCCAACAGGAATAAGTAGCACCTTTGTACTCTTATTTTATAAATATGTTTTCCTCTGTGTTGTTTGTGTGTACATAAATTATTAAATAAATAGATTATGGTCTAGAAGAACACAGGCTTCTTTTTATCCCATGGGAACGTTAACGAGATGATTATGGCAACAAGCTGACGAAAGACGAAAACCATGAAAACATTCCGAGACAAAAGCGAGACAGAGAAACCCCTTATATCAGATTCTTCGGCCCCTAACCGGAAAAAACGTCGAAAAATATAATCTAAGGTGACGAAGTAACACCGAGATCTACCAAGGAGGGCTTTCCAAAGATATGATATTTATACATATTAGATAAATGATCTTGAGATGAGATAGTGACGATAGACACCCAGTCTCCGAGTTATGTTACCAACCTCTTATAGATTACCTGTGATGGTAAAAACCCTTCACTACCGTATACCGAGCCATTGAATGGTTACTTAACCCCTCTTAACAATTATTTTCAACCCAAATTCCTTAAAGTATTAAGTACTAAAGAATAGTTTTTTATGCCATAAGCTTGTTTGTAAACTAGCAGACGTATCACCTGATGGTAAGCAATCGGCGTCGCCCATGGACACCTGGAACACCAGAGGCGTTACAAGTGCGTTACCGGCCTTTTGGGGATTAGGAGTTTGAGGATCGTTGGAGTTTCAGAAAGTTTAAGTAATTATTAAATGACTTGGAGTACGGTAGTTAGAATGTCTTCTAAAAAAGATTAAAGATATTTTTTTTAACCTTAAAAGAAAACAAAGGAAAAAGGAATGTTTCTTTATGGGCGTTAAAAGAAAGTAATAATATTAATAATTTATCGCCACATGTTGCAGAAAATTAAGACAAAAATCATACACTTTATGGCAGTAGCCTCGGAAGTTATTACATGAGACCCATAGCGGACAAATATATAATATAAAATATGTCAGTAATTAAAGAATAGACCTACTACGCAACTGCTTCTCCAAAAGGAATAAAGACTAAAAAAATGATATTACATTTCTTTTCGTATATTACTACCAAAAGTATTATAGTACATACCTTACAAGTCACAACAATATCACAGATGTAATCACACAATCAACTGCGAGTAATGTCAACTTATCATTGTTATATACTGTTACATATATCTAATCTAATCTGTGGCAGATCTAATTATAACAAGTGCCGATACACACACTCTTGCTTCCATATAAAATCGCTGTTGGACAAATAGTGGCTAATAAGAAGTCATTCCGTTCTCTACAATTTGCTTTCTGCAATAGATGATATGAACGATATATTGAAATGGATTAAATAACAATGGATTAGAAATTAATGGCGCGTTTTAAGGTTTACTCTATCGTGCTACATACCTTATACTCTACTGTACTTATGTTTGCTGCGATTACAATCAGAAGTAGATATGTAAGTCACTAACTAACTGCAATTTAGGTACTGTAACTTATGGCCTACCGCATGCGTAGGTGATAGGCGTAGGATATGTTTATGGCTAAAGTTATGCTAATTTGAAGATCAACGTCCTTTATCAGAATTATGTAATTAAAAACAGGTCCTAAAATAGTACCCTGTGGGAAACTCTGTTAAGGAAGGCCTAGGGAAGTGTTAGAACAACTTTGAGTCTTAATAAAGTTAGCATCATTAGTACGGGTTTTCAAAAAATTAGATATCAATAGGTTTCCTTAAAAATATACAAACATGTTGGTAGATTTACATTTGGGCCAAATGAAACGCTTTAGTAAGGAACAAGAAGATTTCGTTTTCCTCTTTAAATGATAGATTAGGTGGTCAAGGAAGCAGAAGATAAGGCTTGCATTTAAGCACTGTCTCATTGTCTGATGCAAGCTGGTAGCACTACTGTCAAAATTACAGATAATATTATATCTACATTTGTCATATTTTTAAGAAGGTACTTTATGACAGCTTCCTGTGATAATACCGTTGGTTTTTTGCTAGATATTTCTATAGATATTTTTGATTTCTCTGTATATCTTGTCGATAAATTGGAGACAAAAAAATAAGTCATCGATTTATATTTTTTGTGATACCTATTATATGATGAGTCTGGTTATTATATACCAAGTTATTAAACTAAATCGTAACTAATAGAAACTCATTGATGAATGTTTTCTTACCCCATGTACACATACTAAACGTTGTAAAGATAATACAAGTACAAAAAGAGATGTCAACATTCTTTCCTCCACCGATGACGATGGCGCGAGAGATTGAAGTTACTTTTGAATGAACATTTTCAAACATTTTCATTAGTGCTAGCACTCAGCGTGAAATTACTTTAGTACGACTGTTTTTTACTCTATCATCGGATTTAATTTTATTCAATTTAACTGGTAAATTATATTATCTAATTGTAACCTTCGCACTTAGTCTTAATTCTAACAGTAATGATCAAGTGATCCCGTCTGTTTGAATTTGAATTGACCAATATACCAATAATCAAGCTTCAATCATATCATACTCTCATCATTAAGAGAAAATGACGTATTTACACCCGAATACTGAAAGGCTACCCAGTTTTAGCTTTATTGTGTCATCTCTATCATTTTACAATGAATGTATAGTAACAGATCTATACTTAAGCGCGACTTCCAAAATTTTTACTAGATAATTATGTTTATTTGTAGTTAGTCCTAGGTTCCATCAGCCACTTTCCAATTTCATCATCTCGATGCTAAAATAATATTGTATGATCATCCAATCTACATATAATTACCAAGTTTCATGATGATACAACAATTAATCGTTCGTGTAATTCTGATTATTAAAATATAAATAAGTAATCTGAATTATACGCACATGAACTGTCACAACAATGAAAAGTTATTATTAAAATCTAATAATCTGGATTACTTGCATATTTAATTGTTCTATTACGTAGTTTGTTACGTAAATGGTTCAAAGGGCCTAGTGCATTTTTTTTAACTTAACGTGATCGGTTTAATCTGTTCTTCTGATTGGTTAGTTAATTGGGAGCTGGCCAATCAAAGCGCCGAACGTCATAAATGTGTCGATCGCCTTAGTGTTAAACAAACGCACTAGGCCGTCAGATTGTTCAAATACATGTTATTTACCTGACAGTTCTATCACTCCTTCTCATGTAGTTTCAGCTCCTGGCGGTTTCCTCATCCAGGTAGGGTTACTCTGGGATCTTAGGAACAGCTATGACTTCCATCCCTTTTCCAAACACACATACTGTTATGGATTCGCTGAAATATTCATATAACGTCAAGAAAATTACACTTAAACAGTAGTACAGCTGGTTAGTATTGAGATATACATTTTAAAAAGGGATTTTGGCAATCGTTTTAGAAATCAAACATTGTTTGATGTTTGTTATCAGTAATCATAATTTAGTGATAATAAACATTAAGGCAGCTTGCTATTTGGGAAGTGGCGATTTTTAACTAGTGGCAGTATCTACATAGACGCCTAGAGATGGGGTGCGGTGCCAGAAGACCTCCCCGTGGTGCACCCTGGGTGCGGGCGACAGTCTCCCTAGCGGGGGTGATAGGGTTGGAGTGACTGTCGCCCGCAGCAGACCTCTGGACTGGGCGGGCGAACCCGATAGGGTTCTGGAGGCGGCGGGCTGTGTGCGGAGGCTCATAGCCCGCGCTTCCGAGGGGCGTTTCTCCGCCCGTCTCTCTGGACATAGCAGAGAGCGTGGCGGAGAGGCAAAGGCGGTGCTCGTTGTGCACTCACCCTGCCAGCGAGCAGCATCGGGACACAAGCTGTCCCCGATTGCAGCCGTCGATATCGTAATCCGTAAGGAGGTCACGGTCATGTTTTGTGACTCTGAACGGGACGAGGGTCTTGGCTTGGTCGCCCGGACCGCGAGGAAGATAACCTCTATAAAAAATTCCTCCAATACTAAGTTCTGGTGCGCGGCGAGAGTATGCATGGCTGAGGAGTAGTGTCAGTCGCGAGCGCACCCCCAGCTAGGGGACCAGTGGAACCTCTAGTTGGGAAACAAATTAACACTTACCCAGGTACAGGGGGCACTGCCTGGGTGGACCGAATATTTCCCCCATACTCGTGGGAACTGTATGGAGAATTTATCACACAAACCACATTCGGAGGAGGAGAGTGCGGGTGAGCTTGGCTCGCCTGCGGTAGCGGGAGAAGGGAGCCCAGGTGGCTCCGGGACTCGTGGTGAGGCGCTGGACTCGTCCAGCAGGCCCCACACACGGGAGTCTAGTCGGAGGGGGTCGGACTCAGAGTCCGACACAACATTGGCGGAGCGGCTGAGCGTGAGCTCGAAAGGCTCACGCCGCCGCGCGACGGGGACGTTCAAGCGCCCCAGGCTGGAGGAGGACAGTTTGTCCCCGTCCTCCGGCGCTCAGGAGGCGCCTCCCCCCAAGGTCCCCACGGCAGCGCGGGGTAGGGGCGGCAAGGGCAGCGGTCGCCGGAAACCGGCACCAGCTGCCTGCGCGGAGTCGCCGAGCAGCTGGCCGCGGAGGGCAGGGCTCTCTCAAGCGCTGCCCGTTCGGCTGAGTCCTCTGCGCTGAGATGTCCGGCGTGGAGATGCCTGAGAACGAGCTCTCCGAGAGTGAGCGCAGCTCCGAGAGCCTCCGCCTGGCCGTGCAGGAGGAGCTCCGCAAGGTGGCCTCGAAGAAGACGGTGCAGGGCCGAGTCGCCATCTTGAACGCGGCGGAGTCCGCCATCATGGCGGCGGCCTTGGAGCGGTGTGCGCTGCCCACCGCTGACAGGGTACAAAAGGAGCTGGGGGAGATGCGGCGGGAGTTGGCGCGCTTGGCGGCCTCCAACGCGGCTCTGGAGGCCGAGCTGCGATCGGCTAGGGCCGGGCTCGCCGCTGCCCGGGAAAATCATCCCCAGCCCCAGCCCTCAGCGGATGCCGACGTGGTCGGTCTGCTGCGCAGGGAGATGGCGGCTTTCCAGCGTCGTTTCGACGTGCTGGAGGGCCGACTCCTTCGCCCCCCGCTAGCGTCGAGTCAGGTCGCCCCACCTGCGTCTCCGCGCTCGTATGCGGCCGCTGCGGCCAAGCCCTCGACCTCCACTGGTCAGGCTGGCCGCGGTCCCCAATCGCCGGCAAAAGCGCGAGCGCCTCCTCCCGCGAGGCCCTCGGCGCCCCCGCCGGTGCAGACCCCGGCTGCGCCGACGGCGCCTGCGCCCGCGGGTCGCAAAAAAAGGAGGAGAACTCCAGCCCGGCAAGCTGGAGTTGCAGCAGCGGCGGCGGAACCCGCCCCACGAGTGGAGGACGGCGGCGGGTGGCAAATCGCCGGCGAGACGAGGAGAGTCGCCAGGGAGGGCCGGAAGCGCCGCAAGAAGGCGCAGCGGCAGCGACGGCAGCAGTAGCGCAGGGAGAAACGCGCTGCTGCCTTGCTCTCGCCCCTAAGACCGCGGCTGTGGTTATTACACTGCAGCCCGAGGCGGTCAATAGGGGCGTTACCTACGGCGACGTCCTCGCCAAGCTCAAGGGGGCGGTAACACCTGCGGAGTTCGGGGCCCCGGACGGGTTTGCGGTCAAGGTGACCGCTACCGGAGCCCGTCTACTGGAGGTCCCCGGCGCGGCCAGTGGCCCGTCGGCCGACGCCCTGGCTGAGAGGCTTAGGGCGTGCCTCGGGGCAGACGAGGCCCGCGTGTCCAGGCCCACCAAATGCCTGGATGTCAGGATTATGGGCCTGGACGACTCTGTAACGCAGAGTGAGGTGGTGGCCGCTGTGGCCAGGACGGGAGGGTGCCCTGCTGACCAGGTCAAGGCGGGCACCATCCGTCCGGACAACTCGGGGCTGCGCACAGTGGTGGTGAGCTGCCCCGTCACAGCGGCCAAGAAGCTGAAGGAGGGCAAAAGGCTCTTGGTGGGATGGGTCTCGGCGCAGGTCAAGCTGCTCGAGACCCGGCCTCTGAGGTGCTATCGCTGCCACGTGGGCGAACACGTGAGCGTTAAATGCACCTCGGAGGTGGACCGCAGCGACTGTTGCTTCCGCTGCGGTCGGCCCGGTCACAAGGCTGGTTCGTGTACCGCCCCGCTGCACTGCAATGCATGTGCGGCGGCTGGCAAGCCGGCCAATCACCGGGTCGGGAGTAAGGGCTGCTCCCCTCCTGCCAAAGCCAAGGCCAAAAGTAGGCCCTCCGCCGCCCCCGTCGTTTCCGCCGCCGCCGCCACCACTGCCGCCGCAGTCGCCGCTGCCGCCACTGAGGAGGTCGGGATGGACTGCCAATAATGGCCCCATTCCGCCTCCTCCAGGCGAACATCAACCACTGCGCCGCTGCTCAGGATCTCCTGCTCCAGAGCATGGCGCAGTGGTCGATCAATGTCGCCGTGGTCTCCGAGCCGTACTTCGTCCCGCCCAGGGATCACTGGGTGGCGGACCTGGACGGCTCGGTGACCATCATATCGTCGGCCGCCGCCGGTACCCCGACTCTTGAGGCTGCTCAAAGAGGCCGGGGTTGTGTCGCAGCACGGTTCGGAGAGCTCGCTGTGGTGGGCGTGTACTTCTCTCCGAACCGAACTCTCGCCGAGTTCCACAACTCCTTGATGGAGTTGGTCACCGTCGTCGTCGGGTTCCGTTCCCTCCCCGTACTCGTCCTCGGGGACTTCAATGCCAAAAACTTGGCTTGGGGTTCCCGGTTCACCGACGTCCGGGGTAGGATGGTGGAAGACTGGGCCCTTGAGACAGGCCTAGTCGTCCTGAACCGGGGTTCTGTCCCCACGTGCGTGCGGATGCAGGGCGAGTCGGTGGTGGACATTTCGTTCGCCAGCCCTGCTCTGTCACCGCGTATCGTCGACTGGCGTGTCATGGAGGAGGTGGAGACGTACTCCGACCACCGGTATATCCGGTTCGACGTCTCCGCCGAGTCCGCAGACCCGCCGGTCAGACAGGCCCCATGTGGTCCGCGTTGGGCGCTGAAACAGCTGGACCGGGAGCTGCTCCTGGAAGCCGCCATCGTGCAGGCCTGGGTGATACCACCGGTCAGGCCTGCCGACATCGACGATGAGGCTAAGTGGCTCCAGGACGCCATGTCCAGGATTTGTGACGTGGCGATGCCCCGGATCCGATCGAGGCAACAGAAGCGCCAGGTGTACTGGTGGTCGCAAGAGCTGGCGGCTCTGCGCAAGGCGTGCACTACTGCGCGACGCCAGTACACTAGGCACCGCAGGCGCCGTATCCGTCCTCCTAATGCGGAGGCGAGAGAGGCGGAGTTATACGAGGGATACAGGGCGGCGAAGGCCCTCCTCAAGGCGGAGATATTGCGGGCCAAGGAGGAGGCCCGCCGAGAGATGCTGGGGACTCTGAATAGAGACCCGTGGGGACGCCCGTACCGGATGGTGCGCGATAAGCTCCGCGCCTGGGCTCCCCCGCTCACTCAGAGTCTCCGGCCAGAGGTCTTGGAGGAGGTGATAAGCGCCCTGTTCCCCCGACCGCGGAGGCGCTTCAGGCCTCCGTATATGACTCTGCCCCCTGCGGTGCCCGACGCGGGCTATAGCGACGACGACGATGACCTCGTCCCAGAGGTGACCGAGGCAGAATTGAGAGCGGCGGTGCGCCGGATGGGCGCCAAGAACACCGCCCCAGGACCCGACGGCTTGCATGGCAAAGCATGGGTCCTGGCCTCAGAGGCTCTCGGGCCTCGATTAATCGGTCTCTACAGCGCATGCTTGGAGAGAGGCCAGTTCCCGCTTCTCTGGAAAGCGGGCAAACTGGTCCTCGTGCGGAAGACGGGGCGCCCTGCGGACTCTCCGTCCGCATACCGGCCCATAGTGCTGCTCGACGAGGTGGGAAAGTCTTCGAAAGAATCATTTCGAACCGCCTCGTCGCGCACCTGACGAACATTGGGCCGGACCTGTCGGACGGCCAATTTGGCTTCCGCAGAGGGCGCTCCACGGTGGACGCCATCATGCGCGTTAGGGACCTCACGACGGGGACTGCAGTGTCCGGGGGTAGAGTCGTGGTGGCGGTGTCTTTGGACATCGCCAACGCCTTCAACTCCCTGCCCTGGAGCTGCATCTTGGAGGCACTCCGATATCATGGGGTGCCTACCTACCTCCGTCGTGTGATCGAGGCTTACCTGACGGACAGGTCCGTCAGCTACCCCGGTCACCGGGGCGAGTGGAACCGGCGAGAGATGTCACGCGGTGTTCCACAGGGTTCGGTTCTGGGGCCGCTCCTGTGGAACATCGGCTATGACTGGGTGCTGCGCACCGACCTCCCGAACGGCGTTAGCACAATATGCTACGCCGACGACACGCTGGTGCTAGCGCACGGGAGGTCGCACCAGGCGGCGGCCGATTTAATGGCGACAGCGGTTGCGACAGTCGTTGAAAAAATCCGGCAGTTGGGACTCGAGGTGGCGCTCCACAAGTCCGAGGCCATGTGTTTTCATGGCCGCGGGAACGCGCCACCTCCGGGTGGGTCCCAAATAATGGCGGGAGGGGTTACCATCGGCGTCGAGACGACGATGAAGTACCTGGGACTCGTCCTCGACAGTCGGTGGAACTTCGTGGAGCACTTCCGACGTTTGGCTCCAAAGTTGGCGAGGGCGGGGGCTGCGTTTAAGCGCATCCTCCCCAACCTCGGGGGGCCAAACGCCTCCTGCCGGAGGTTATACGCCGGGGTCGTGCGGTCCATGGCCCTCTACGGCGCCCCTGTTTGGGCGCCGAACTTGTTGCGGCGTCCTGCTCGGACGCTGCTCATGTCACAGAGGGTCATGGCGATCCGAATGATCCGCGGATACCGCACGACTCTGGGGAGTCGGCGAACCTCCTTGCCGGATTACCGCCGTGGGATCTGGAGGCGAAGGTGCTCGCGCGCGTGTATAACATGCGCGCGGAGGCACGTCGCCGGGGCGAAACTCCGCTGCCGCGCCAAATAAGTGCGTGGCGGGATGAGCTCCGGCGCGATCTCATGGCGGAATGGCAGCAACGACTGTCGCAACCGGGGGCTGGGCTCGCTGCCATTGCAGCGGTAAGTCCCCTCTTTGAGGAGTGGCTTGAGAGACGCTACGGCGTCCTCACCTACCGCCTGACGCAGGTCCTCACCGGACATGGAAGTTTCGGGAGGTACCTGTGTCTGATGGGGCGGGAGGAAACGCCCGGGTGTCATCACTGCGAGGACCGCCCTGAGGACACGGTGGAACACACAGTGGGAGAATGCCCTGCGTGGGCTGAGCACCGCGCTGCCCTCAGGGAAGTGATCGGCGATGGCGACCTCTCGCGTCCGGGCCTAGTGCAGGCCATGATGCGGAGCGAGGGGGATTGGGATGCCGTCTCCTCCTTTTGCGAAGCAGTCATGCTAGCTAAGGAGGAGGCGGGACGCGTGAGGCAGCGAAGCGCTGCCTCCTCGCAACCCAGCCATCGCGAAGGACACACCGGGCGTCGGGGATCGCGAGACGATCTCCGGCCACCGTAAGCGCGGGCCTGCGGACGGCGAGCATGGGTGGCTCCCCGTCCGACCAGAAACAGACCCGAGCGTACGGCGCGTCGCGTTCCGCGCGCGCCTCAAAGAGCCATCAGACCACCACAGATGGGGCCCAATAGGGCCGATGCCGATTCGGAGTCGCGGAGAACCTAACGGGTAACCGGGGCTCCGGCTCGACGTGCAGGAGAAGGAACGGGGTGGTTTTTAGTCAGTAAGAGTCTGACACTCCCTTCCGCCTCACCCAGGCGGGAGCAGTCATTCGATGATTTTTCCCCCCTTAAAAAAAAAAAAAAAAAAAAAAAAGACGCCTAGAGATGAACAGTAACATTCACTAAATTGTCAATGGCCCTAAATCTAACTGTGATTCCCAGTCGCCCAAGCAAGGTTAGCAGTAGATTTAACTACTAGAATAGTTAGCCAATAATATCGATACAAAATGATCTACGATGACTTACCAATTATGATCCAGAAGGTCCATCCCTTGAATATCGCTGACCATTGTATGAGATTGCGACAAAAACTTGCAATCTATCCCCTCTTCATATATCTTCCATCGAAACAATGTTATCCTCTGATCTATTGACGTAGAAACCAGATAGTCATCTACTAAAATAAGCCCAGTTATCTGTGAGCTGTGGTTGTTTGCACTTTTCCAAGTGTGTAGTACTCTTGCAGAGGTCATGTTATTTTGGACATTGATTTCTACTATTATAGTGTGGACAGCGTTATCGTCGCCCCCAGTGGCTACAAGAACCTTATCTTCAGACACATTGACGGTAGCTATGCTGTTTATACCTGATTTATTAGTTTTTGTACTGAAAAATGGTTCAAAATTGTCATTTGTAATGTCCGTTACATTCCAAAATGTAACTTCGCTTCTAGTTGTACATGTGATTAGGATGTTTCTGTTAAGAATTTTGATACATTTCGTTTTCAAAATACAAGTTTTGTGATACTTCGCTTCTTTGATAATCTCTACCTTTTTACTATCTTCTTTGAAGGTGAACACTCTTACATAAGAATCGGAGCAACCTGCAAAGATGATAAGTCCATCTTTATCATTTATCACATCTATGTCCATGATTCTCATTTCAGGGTCAAAGTCAATGGAACAGTTCCTCCATGTCTGATTTCCTTTCCTCTCCTTATCTGTACCTCTTATTAAGTAATCTACTAATTCTTCTGATGTTACATCGATATTGTTATCTTTGTTAGTTAATTTTATATCTTTTATGCAAAGCTGAGCTCTTCCTCCAGCTGATAAAACTAAGAAATGGTTCTCATCTATGGAAAATGTTTTTAATGTTCTAACACTAGATAAGTGTTTAAAGTTAACTTCGTCTTTAAAGTTCATTTCTGCATCAACACTGGATATTCTTAGCGTAGTGTCTTCTCCACCAGTAATGTAAACTGTGGCATTACTAATTCTATGCGATTTCAAACAATTAATTTCTTTAGCATGTGATCCATTTATAACATTCCTTGAAACTATTTTACTCAGTTGGAATGTTACAACATTTATATCTGAGTTTTTCAAATAAATCAGTTTTATTAATTCTTCGTAATTTTCATTTACTTTCTTGAAGTATCTGACTGCATCCCAGGACCTATGTCCACCTCCACACGCCACTTCTAACATTTTACTATTCTCATTAACATTGTACACAACAAAAACTCTTTCTTGGAATCCACAAATAATATTTTCACCTTTATCCAGGAATTTCTCGACCCATTCGAAAGCTAAGTCTTTATTGCTCATGTGTTTTACTACATCGCCATTTATACTAAAATATTTAATAGTCCCATCTCGTCCAGTAGTAATAATTCTATTATTTCCAACACTAATGGATGTTGGTCCATACCTCCCGTGTACCTTATGGAAGGTTTTCACTGGGTTATTCTGGCCTTTGATAAAAACATGTATGTTACCACATCTATCTCCAACAATAAACCTATAGTTCTCCAGTTCTATTGCAGAAGCTGTGAGCCATCTTTCTTTGCAGTTTGGTAGAACAAAATTAGCATATACTTCTACTCTTGCGTTATTAGAAGCTAAGACAGTAATATTACCATCTCCAGAACAAAGTACTAGATGCCTATTGCCCGCCCATTGCATGGACAAAATCTTTCCTATTTGCAATTTAGTATCAACAATATTTAGTAAAAAAGCCTCATCCTTACATTTTTCTACGAACACATCCAGTTTGCCTGCCATATCTGCTACAGCAATCAGTTGCTTACAGGACGATAAAGCTAGCAATTTGTAAGTAGATTCATGATTTAATTTATGTTCAGTTTTATTTTTATTAACAACGTCGTAGTAGATTAAATTAGCCTCATCCATAATGACTAAGTTGTTTCTGGCGGTGAACAAAACCTTTTTGGGAGTGGCTACACCTACATCAATGATATTTTCTTGGCAGTAATCTGTAGCTATGGTCAGGGGATGTAAAATGACTCCGCTGTCCCCACCACCAGTAACTAAACTGGTGCCATCACTGTCGACAGACCATATACATCCGTTCTGATGTGTGAGAGCCTTTTTTAATAATTTACCATCAAAATCCCAGTAACATATGGCCGAGTCTTCACCTACGGACACTATTAGATTATTTGTAATGCAACTCCTCATGACTCTCGCTAAATGTCCGTAGACCTCATGCTTACAAACTATTTCTATACCTTCCCAGTATGTCACTGTATTGTGTGCATGTGCTGGTGGTACATTGGGACCCCATATCCTTACAGACCTGTCATCTGATGTGGTAACTATCGTATTTCTATATGGTTCATATGATATCGAGAATATTACACCCTGAAAACAAAAGATAGTCATATTTATGATTGCTGATTAACATGTGTTTGTTCAGTGTAATAAAACCATGGGGAAAGTGAATGCTGGACAGGGAGTCTCAGGTTTGATTCCTGAGTTGGGAAAACATTATGTATAAGTAAATTAGCTGAGTAGTCAGCAATAGGCTTATCCTCAATTAGAAGACTGCCTCACTGCCAAGTGGTCACCGGGCAAGGGGTCTCGGGACCGATTACCGGGTCAGGCAGCATGTTGTGTCCAGTATATGACAATAGAGGCTCACCCCTATTACATGGGACTCATAACATAAATAACGAAAAGTGTTACATTGTACAGTGGCATAATGTGCACCTCTGCCTATGTTATGTTAGAAGTTTTGTAATACGGTCTGAAATTGATACCTTATGTCCTCTCAAATGGTGTAAGGCCTCATCCTTACTGGCTCTGTGTATGATGACTTCAGAGAACACCGTCCCTGCCATCACCAGGACATCATCTTGCAATGCAAGCAGCAGTCCACTGTACAGTATAGAGTTATTGTGACTTGGCTGCTGTGATATCAGTGTTTGAGTGAGTATGTTCCATTTCTATAAGAAATAAATAAGGTTTAAGATTATATTTCTAATAATCACCTTACTTAATTTAGATATAAGTAACTACCTAGTTTAGAACATTATCAAGTTATGGATGAAGAAGTGTTAGTTTACACTGAAGGAATCAGACAACAGTTTTAAGTCAACTTAAGTAGATAATTTAATGGGTTGCAGGGGTTTGGCTACAAGTACTGGAGTAGGAATGGGGTGGTTTTGAGCCAGTAAGAGTCTGATACACACTCTCACCTCACACGGGCAGGAGAAGACATTGGATGATTCTCCTACCTCAAAAAAAAAATTGACTTAAGTAGTAATGTCTTGAGTTTATCTTATCATTTGACCATTAATAAAAGACCTTCTCACCTTTCATTGTTTACATTACCTTTACAAACTACTCCAATAGAATATAAATTAAATACAACTTTACAAAATGAACTTTAAATTTTATAACCTATGTTTCAGACTACGAAGACAAGAACAAAGTCTTACCTGAACCACATTGTGCGCTGTTAACAGTGCCACAACATCATCAGTCACCCAAACTGCAGAATGAAGCCAATCATCACATACTAAAGGCTTAAATACTCTATAAAATAGTTCAGAACCCTCATTTGACCCTTCAGAGTTCACTAACGTAATTACAGTAATCTGTTTTCCACCAAACACAAGTATATTTGTACCACATTCCGAAGGTACAAATCCATATATTTTCTGACCATTTAAACACACTAAACACTGTAATAACTGCGTAGATTCCTTGTCAAATACGTTTACAGTGTTTCCAATACCTGAAAATGGTAAAATGTTGGGTATATTTAAAGCTAATTGGAATTTACAAGCACACTTGTTATGATAAATCATAACCTAAAAACTAACCGGCTAACAAGAATTTTTTGTAAAACTTTACAGCAGTTACATCGGTACGTATTAGTAAAGACATTATTGAAAAAATTTAACTTAAAACTTAAATATTATATATTTTACAACAGGTACACACACTTCAGTGTTTTGGTTGGTTTTGGGTTTTGGTGTGAAATTTCTGACATTGACACTTGGCACTTTTGACAGTTCTAGATGAAATGACAGGACAATCTGTTGACTGCTACGATCCGTTTGTCCGAAAAGGAAAGAAGGTTTATAATCATCAAAATTATAAATTATTCAATTAAAGATAATTTGAGTCTTCTTAAACCAGGAAAGTACGCATAATAAAAATTAAGTTACGTTACTTTAGTTTTTTTACATGATTTTACTTATCACTTTCCCAGGCTGATCACTGAGAGTTTTAGGGGTGTAAAAACATAAGGAATTCGATACCGACAAAATATAATTTATTTTTTAGTTTTATTACAACATTATTTATAAGACGTAAATTAATCCTGGTATTGATCGAGTGGGTACTTGTCAGGATATTTCTTTAGATGCTCTTCCATTTGTTTCATTTGTTTTCTGAAAAAGAAAAAAGTGTGTTAGAATTTGCACAGTCACATGTTGAAAGTTAAATTAAAAAAAACAATATCGACTCACTGGATTCTAGGAGGCATGTCATAGTAGACATCTTCGAGCATTTCTTTCCAGTGGGGTCGCTTCTTCTTTTCAGCTTCTTGCATAGTTCTTACAACAGTGTCTCTTGATTCTTTCAAGCAAGTTTTCTCAGCTTCCTCATCCCAAATACCTGTAAGTTTAAAAAAAAATGTAGAAGCATCATGTCATCACCAGCTTATAAATGCCCACTGCTGAGCAAAGCCTCTTCTGACGTGGAAAAGGTTAGAGCATTAATCACCACGCTTGCTCAATGCGGGAAGGCCATTTCAAACTTATAGTTAGAAATTATAAGCCTAGGTTTCCTCATGATGTTTTCCTTCACCGTTGGTCTGTGGTTTCTAAATAATCTTAGAAAGTACATATAACCCGGACAAAGTCACATTGGTACTTGGTGTTGGCAGGTTTCGAACCCGCACCCTCGTACATGAGAAGCAGGCGTCTTCAACCTCCGGGCCACCACGACTAGATATTTAATAAGAATAACTTAGTAAACCAACCTTTAGTTTCCAAATACTTTTTAAACTTATGAAGTGGGCTTTCATCTTTAGTCCACTTTTGTATTTCTTCAACTGATCTATAAGCCGTGCTGTCATCAGAGGTGGAGTGATGTCCCACTCTGAAAATAAATATTGGTAAATACTTAGCTAAATTGATTTATACAGTTTATGGTGTAACCGTAGATACATTACGTAAGTAATCTCTCACGATAATTATTATTATTATAACAACGTTACCGAAGATCTTACTTTCTAAATTTTAATTTGATGATGAGCATACTGACCTGTAAGACATAGCCTCGATCAGCACTGGTTTGTTATTAGCTATAGCATATTCTCTGGACTGCTTCACAGCATTATACATTGCAAGAGTGTCGGTCCCGTCTACACGAATAGTGCGGATGCCGAGCGCAGGTCCTCGAGAAGCAATACCATCACCCCTGTACTGCTCGTTGGTCGGAGTCGAAATCGCATAGCCGTTGTTTCTACTGCAAGAGTTAGAAAGAAAATTACAATACCTATCGTTGTATAAGATATTAAAAATTATTTAGTAAGGCTAAGCTTGAAAAGTGAATGTACCATAACAAAATAACGGGACAATCTAGTGTAGCTGCAAAGTTAAACGCAGCGAAGGCGTCTCCCTCGGACGCGGCACCATCTCCGAAGTAGCAGACGACACAACGGTCGTTGTTCGGCTGTCGCTTCAGGGCATAAGCTGCTCCAACTGCCTGGGGCATTTGAGTTCCTGAAATATATAACCAACAATTAAGTATAGTATGATAAAAAATTGAAAATGAAATAACTTCAGTAAAGTGCCGACATAACAGATAAAAATAATTGTATCGTTTGGTTTTTAGAAGTGCCTTATTTGGACTATTTTGAAGTATGTCTTACCTAGGGGACTGGAAATGGTTACGAGATTATAGTGCTTGTTCCCGTAGTGGACTGGCATCTGCCTCCCCTTGCCTGGGTCCTCGTGGTTGCCGTAACATTGGTTGATGAGCTCTGTCACCGTAACTCCTCGGTACAGGAAAACTCCTACTTCTCGATATTGGGAGAACACCAGGTCTTGAGGGCTCAAAGCAGCCGCACTGCCCACGTGGATACCTTCCTCACCGTAGTTGGTCATGTAGAATGATATACGGCCTTGTCTGTAAGATAATTTTAAATCATTACAAACTAAATTAAAATGACATTTTAAAAACAAATAAAATCGAACCCATTTTTGTACTTAATAGTTTAAGTTCAATCAATGTTTTACCTCATCAATGCAAACGAGCCTTTATTTTAAATTGTTGGTACATAAATAAAGCCAATAGAATCGCATGTCTGATTATGTCCTTCACTTAACATCGTCATACGAGTTTAGCAGCAGTAAAAAACGCAACATTATGATTACCTTTGAGACTCATACAATATCTTGTCCATTTGAGTGAGCTGCACCATAGTTTTGTAAATATTCACGAGTTCATTGTTATCGATATTTGGCTCCTCCCTACTTTCGAGCACCGACCCATTATTGTCCAACACTCGGTAGATAGGGATGGGGTCGTAGCTCGATTCGTTCAGGAACTTCATTTCCGTTACGTAGGGAGCTTTGGCGCCCGGAAATTCGGCATGTTTCGTGTTTTGTGCAATCTCCGGCCTTGTGTGAGTGGACAGCAGCTGTAACACACGTTCCACATACTTTAGGTACCACAGGACAAGTAATTCTAGGCTTCGCCCTGTGTCTGTGACTTTCACTATTGGGTAATGATAAACAACAGTACAAAACAACGTTAAACTCAACGTATTTAGGCACCTAATGAGTTCAACAAAGTAATGTTTTTTGTTAAATCTAGTCAAAACGCATAGCAAAAACAGAATAAATGTTTAAATACATTTAAATTAGCCGCTTTACGAACATTTCATCGGGCAATCTTATAAGTTATTCAATCACGCCGTTCTTATCTAGCCGCAAAGAGTGATGTAATAAAAACAAACTTATGATTATGTTACTAGGTTCATTATTGACTGACGGTAGTGATAAAAATCCAAAATATCATTATCAACTTTAATCACTGCCCGCACTGATTTACTTCACTAAAAATACTTAATTATATGAAAAAACCACGTGTTTTGATATTTTAAAGACTTTTACTCGTTTTAATGTTAATTGAAGGATGTTTAATAATATTTTAGTGATGGTAGAACTACAACTAACCCTGACAGCGGCATTGCGTAGCGTGTTCAACCGCAAAACACTAGCACCCGTCTTCAGCGCCATGTTGTGACTGACGTATACTCATTATAATTACACTATATCGTTGTTTAACGCATTAGCAATTGTGATAAGGCGTTTCGTACAAGTATGTTCAGTATTTCAAACAAGTATTTTGAAATTGCTGTGCCGACGTAATGCTTTGATAACAGATGACGGCTCGGAGGCCGTGAGGTCAAATGCTAATCTCTCTTTGAGATGTTTAACAATAAAATGTTTGGAACCGGTTTGCAGCACACACACAAATATTAACTTAGAAGTGATACAGCAAATACTTTATAGTACCTACCTACCTCATTTATATTTAAGATATTTATATTTTATATGCATACTTATACTTACTTAATTAAAAATGAATTTCCGTTCGTTAGTCTCGCTAAAACTCGAGAACGGCGCGACCGATTTGGCTAATTTTGAAACCGACCGATTTTTTAAATATTCGTGGAAGTCCAGGAAAGATCTAAGAGGCAAAAAAGAGAAAATTTAGGCGGTACGAAGTTCGCCGGGTCAGTTAGTGATAGATAGATTTTTAAGTAGGCAAGGCCGCAAGAAACTTCTAATCTACCTCTAAATGGTTAAGAATCGTGTTGGACATCTGACGAACCATAAGTTTTCTGCTTTTAAAACCACCTAGTACCTAGCAATAAATCATCGAAGCAGAGTTGATTTTTTTATATCTTTGCCAAGTACTTTACTGAAGATATAAACGCCTGAAAAAAATTGTCTGTAGATAGTTATTTCTACGCCTTTAGTAGACTATCTATAAATATTTTGCAATAGGGATGGTGACAGGGTATGAAAATTAAAAATCTAATCCTTAAGTTAGGTAATGAAAAAATATTATAATGAAACAACACAACAACACATAACATAACATCACGCCTTTTATCCTCGAAGGGGTAGGCAGAGGTGCACATTATACCACTGTACAATGTAACACCCACTTTTCACTATTTATGTTATGAGTCCCATGTAATAGGGGGTGAGCCTATTGCCATATACCGGGCACAGTTCCAGACTCCGTGCTACTACTGAGAATTTTAAAAACCCAGTAATACTTTGCCCGACCCGGGAATCGAACCCGAGACCCCTTGCCCGGCAGTCGCAATTGCGATCACTCGGCCAACGAGGCAGAACCTATAATGAAACAATACTTAGATAAAACGAATCAAAGTTTAGGAGTGGGGCTAAAACGTCATTTCTACGTATAAAATGAACATAGAAGTGACGTCACAAGAATTTCAAATCAATATATCGTCGAAAGTATTCGTTTCTGTAAGAAAATAAAAAATACGTGTCTAATAATTTTAAAATGATCTACCAGACGGACATTAAAATAAAAATTAGGCATTTACCCTATTACTAAAAATTAAATAAATTCGGTATTCGTTCGTTGACTATGTGTGTACTGTACCACTACCGACACACTCATTTTAATGACTTTATGACTGTTAGAACCTAATATAAGTAGTCTGTCTGACAGTCGACAGTAGAAATAGATTAGATTAGATTATAAGTTTTTATTTTCTGGAAAGAGGCGTTCCTTCTATGTAAAAAAGACATCATGACCAATGTCATGGTCATGATGTCTTTTTTACTTTTTTCTTCTTTCGCCTGATGATGGTAATGACCAAGGAAAACTGCAGAGCAAGGGTGTCCACCACAGTCCGCCAAAAGAAATATGATGACCTTCTAGTGAGGGGCCCTTCTAGCTGACTAATAATGAGCTAGCTGGATAGTTACGTAAGATGGTGACTGCATCATTGCTCAAGTGATCGCAACTGCTGAGCAGAAGCAAGATCCGAAGACCGGGCAGTATATACGTAAATGTACAAAGTCTTATTAATATGTCGCATATACATACATAGTATGTAATTAGCTTCACTACTTAGTTCTACTTACTACCTGTTGATGTCTTATTTATGGGAAAACATATTTGAGTCATACCTATACAGTTAGTTATTGCGCGTTAGAAATAACATGGAACAATAAATATTGAGCAATAGGTACCTAACTTTTTTCAATCAATGCTGTCCTCATTACTCTGTGACTCATTACCACTCACGCAGTTAAAAAGCAGGCGATGACTGATTTTCCTGTAGTCTGATAAGTGGCTCCAGCGCAAGCTGAGCTCTGATTCAAGGCGGAAAGAAAAAATCTATAAAACTTCAAACTAAAAGGTGAAACTCTATTGGCAAGATATGAGATATCACATTAGTACGATTTATTATTACAGGCAACGAGTATATTGTTATGTTTCTGGGGTCTAACTAGGCTGGTCGTCATTTATCACTTTTATAGATAATGCGCAAATCGGATTGCTAAAATCTAATCGCTGTTTTGATAAGATAATGGCGGTTGAAATTGGTATAAAAACCAGGCTCTTGGAAGCCCAGTCCATCCGTCCATCGACATTGGGGCCTGTATTCATCGGTGGGTTCTATTGGTAAATCTCAAAACCTTGTGAAGTACCTAAATAATGTCTACACAGGAATATGATGAAGATTTCACTTTTTTAGGGATCTTTTTTAAATATATCAACTGTTACCACCCCGGAAGACGAATCTATTTGCAACGCCGCATATTTTTTCTTTTTGTATAGTACATGTCTGGGTCGTTGTCGTTCTTGCTATGGCGACGTCAGCGCGTTCATGCCTTAATGGCGGGCGAAAATGCAATTATCGTTCGAGTTCGACTATAAAGATTGTTTTATTATTCATTGCATACAGCTTCACATCGTTTGCTTTTTAGGAATGTTTGTTATTAGGTAGATTATGTATGCTAGTCTCATCCACGTTTGACCTAGTACGATCGCAAAGTCTAGACATCGGAGGCGTCAGGTCGGTGTTATAAAATCCAGATAAAGTCAAGATGGAACTCGATGACAAACGAAGACATTATACATTTTTTTATTGGAATATTAATGCTCAGCGGCAATCCTTTTTTGAATCTTATATGCGTCTAGGTCTCGGTCAAATAAATTGTTAACTGAGAGGTTCTAGACATGTACTGGTCTGTAGTAAAAGTTTAAGCTTACCTAATAAATCTAGCATAAAATAATCTCGTTGAGTCATTGAGAACTTAGATATTAAAATTACCTACATAACTTGCCGTTTATTACATACGGTAGAAATCTAGAAACAATCATTTTCTTGTTTATGCAGGGCGCTATTTTCCCTCACATCTTCCATTCCCTTACATCAAAAATTGCATTTCATTCGTATGTAAAAAAGAAACGTTGCGGTGGGTTGGACTGGATCGGTTGGAGTGGGGCCTACCGTATTTTTGCTCACTAGATGACGCTAGTGTGAACCTCTCGTTCTTTGTCCAATGGGGAATAAGCTAGTATCACACTAATGGACGTTCAATATTTGACAGCTACTCTAATTGGACAAAAATTTCCTTTTTACATTTGCGCCATCTAGTGAGCAAAAAAACGTTACTAGTAGAACAAAGACAAATATTTAAGTTAGTATGCTATACCAATAATTCTAGGGTACCGCAATGGTTGATATGATAATAATCTAATCGATCTCGTTTACCATATCGCCATTGCCATTCCAACTGATAGACTTAATAACGCCTCGACGCGTAAGTCATGCTCTCTTCGTTTCCATCTGCTATTGATATTGATTTCATTTTAACTCGTCGAGTACCGGTTTTATAGACACAATTAAAGAACATTAGGTCGCGGTCACCGGTGACCGCTTGGTGTTTGACAGTTTAATAAACTGTATCTACATGTACTATGCAAATTATTGATTAATATAAAAATACTGCGTTGACTGCCTTTTCTCTATTATAATAATCGAATTAATCACATCTTTCCAAAAAAACATTTAACAAAATAAGGAATATGTATTTTTTACATGGCAACACAACTTTTTTTTGTTTATGTTTTTGGCAACAATCCGCAACTGGAAACGTCAAACGTGTTACTATAACCCTATCGAGTTGTAATAATGATGTTTTACCAGGTTTTATGCGAATTATAAGTGCTTTGCGATTCGATAGTATTATATTAGTTGTCAGTAATAAATAAATGGCTGTGGAGGTTAGTGACCGTGTATCGATAATATTTGTGTTATAGTGAAACAACGACTATGCCTTACTGGTACTATGACAAGAAAGATCTCCAGAACACGCCGTCGTTCAGAGATGCCATTACTACGGAGACAGAGAACCGATACAGGAAGGAAGGCGCCAGGTTCATCATTGACACAGGCTCGAAGATGGACCTAGGTTATAACACAGTGGCCACTGGAGTTGTTTATTTCCATCGCTTCTACATGTTCCATTCGTTCAGAACATTCCCGAGGTACATCACAGCTTGCTGTTGCCTCTTTCTAGCGGGAAAAGTAGAGGAGACGCCAAAGAAATGCAAAGACATTATAAAAGTTGCCAAGTCTTTGCTTACGGAACAGAAGTTTGCTAGTTTTGGAGAAGATCCCAAAGAGGAGGTGATGACTTTAGAGAGGATCCTGCTGCAGACGATCAAGTTCGACTTGCAGGTGGAGCACCCGTACGGCTATTTGTTAAAGTACGCCAAGTGTCTCAAAGGCGACAAAGCCAAGCTACAGAAGATGGTACAAATGGCGTGGACATTCGTTAATGACAGGTCAGTACTGGAACTAGATTTTAACTTGTTTAACTATTGCTTAACAACTCGGATGTTTTGCTGTTGGAAAAAAATCAATCAAGCGAACTCTATGTGACATTTTTTCATAGTATTAAAATAATGACTGCATAATTAACTCATTTATTGATTGCATTTATTGTTATAGAATTTGAATTGGATTTATGAACCATTATCATATTACTGCAATTATCTAAAAATGCATTACTGCTACATAGTATAATGATGATGGGTATGATAGCTACAATAGTGTTATTTATTAACTAAAAATCGCGGGTTACTCACATGAATATACTGAGAAAAGCTCTACTAGTTTCGAACCACAGAGTTCTCAGTATATTCTCATGAGTAAACCGCGATTTTCTAGCTAATTTAGTATGTCTAATGATAGGTATTATAAAAACAGTGTTATTTATTTCCAGTTTGTGCACAACATTATGTTTGCAATGGGAACCTGAAGTCATCGCAGTAGCACTAATGTTCCTAGCAGGGAAGCTCAGCAAGTTTGAAGTCCTAGACTGGAATGGAAGAAATCCTAAACACAATGCCTGGTGGGACATGTTTGTAGAAGACATTACAATGGAGCTACTTGAAGATATATGCCATCAAGTAAGTTTTTTCTCGATATCCTATGCTTTATTTTTGTTATTGATAATGGTAATTGTAATAATATTGTTCAATATGATTACATATTACCTTATAATCATCATGAGGTGTAGGATAATCTTTAGTGTTTAGTTATATACAGTAATCTAATTATCTTGTGCTTTAATTATGTTACATGATGAAGTTATAGAGCCAAACATTGGGCACTATTTTGTTTATGCAAAGTAAGATATTACTACAACTCCATTTGTAAAGTTGCCTAGTCCAATTGCATTTGAATAGAAATGATCAATTACCACAAGTAAAGTTAATGCACTATAATGCTTTGCAATGTATGTAGCCACATAGAGGACAGACAAATTACCATGCGGTCAACATGTTCACATGCAATTTAAGTGATCTGTGTACAATGAAGAATGACAAGACCTTCCTGTCCTCCCTGCTGGCAATGGTTGCAGTTTCCTGTTGCTAAAGTGATTGCGATTGTGAATGATCATTATTGATTGTTATGCACTGCAAAATTTAGAGATCTTTGTTTGTTAAACTGTACTTACTTGTTGCCTAGTCTTGTAATCAATGTTTTGGGATGTGTATGGCTATGTCAGGCATATACATAAGGTACACTGATGTTGAAGGTGAAAGTTTGGTAAAGGCCATGGTTTTCAATACCTAGGCAAAGTTTTTAGTCGCGGAGAACCTAACGGGTAACCGGAGCTCCGGCTCGACGTGCAGGAGAAGGAATTTAGTCAGTAAGAGTCTGACACTCCCTCCCGACTCACTCAGGCGCAGTCATTCGATGATTTTCCCCCCTTCAAAAAATAAAGGCAAAGGTTTTGACACAACTTACAGTACATTGTGACAAAAATCGAAATGAAGGTCATTCTAAACAAAGTGCTGTATTATTAATCATAATAACACAGTAGACAGACTGACATGAACAATTCAGACTAATTTCAAGCACTATACATTAACCTAGATGATTTATCTGGTCTATTTTTGGACCGAAATTATTTGCTACTTCAGAAACGAATATTGATTGTTTTTGGATAAAATGATTCCCGACAAGTTATTTACATATTTATATGTTAAATGAGATATTTGTCACTTTAAATTGGTTGATTGCTTATTGATCAACTATCTAACAAAAGTAAATTGTAATTGCATTATCTTAATCCCTATCCTTGTTGTTCCAGGTGTTAGATCTGTACTCTCCTCAACCGCAGTCATCGGGCGGCGACTCCCCGCCCGCTCCCTCCCCTGCCAAGCAGCCAAAAAACGAGAAGAAGCCCCCCTCCATTACACCGCCCACTTCCGCATCACCAGTCGCCGTTGTCGTTTCTAAACCAATACTGACCCCGATGAAGAATGGTGCAGATATTAAAATAGACCCTCCAAAGATGGAGCCCATAAGATACACGTATCCAGCGTATCCAGGGATGCCGGCCTACCCTGCAGTATACACAGCGCCGCCGCCCTCCATCCCGCCACCGCCGAGGCTGCCGTTGACTGGGCCGCCGCCCCCCTCGCTGGTGTACGCGGAGCCCCCACCGGCGCCTCCGCCCCGCTTCCCCCCGGTGAACGTTCCTCCCCCGAACTACTTCCCCCCACTACCAGGGCGTGGGCCCCCGCCCCCTGGCCCCCCGCCGCGGCCCTACTACCCGCCGCCGTGATCCTAATGTAAGCAATAGGTTATTGTATAATTTTTTACTGAAATATAATTTTAGAATATAACTTCGTGTTTTATTTAAAAGATCTATAACCAACTTAAACATAAAACTTGTAGAATAAAAAGACGATAAACGTTTCTTAGTATTTTATTGTCAGCTTCTCACGAAGTTTTGAATATTACTCCCATCTGAACATCACGGCACTCATGCCTGACAGGACTATCCACAGTGTATAAAAATATCAATACTGGAATTATGGTAGAAGTAACTGCAATATAAAATATGCAGGATCAAGGCAGAATCTGTACAAGTACAACACTGTATTTTAGTAAAGTTAAAAATAATTTCATTATTTCTGTACTGGGTCCCCCAAAGATAATAATTACAATTAAAAGTTTGGCACACAAAATATTTTAGATCAAATCCACACATTTCTTACTTTTTTTAGTATTCATTAAGGTCTTGTTAAAAATATTTTAGCGATAAGTTTGTAAAGGTTAAAATGAAAGTTTTATAGCCAAAATGATTCTTTAGGGTCCGTAAAAAGTTTAAATGTATGTACAAATCAATAATGGGCCTACCAAGATTGTTTTTAGTCATAAATACATCACAAAAAGAACACAATACCTCTGTAATAAACACATTAGTGACTATAAGATGTAAACCTTATTTGATAATAATTTGTGCATACAAACAAGTCGAAGCTTAATGTACAAGCTAACAAACTAACAATAATATGGAGTTGCCGGCGGACTAGAGTACGAAACTACGAATACATACAGTATGAACACATTGCATGCACTAATCTGCACTGGGTGGGCAGAGCTCGACAGTGAAACCGTATTATGGATATAGTATGCAATTTTTAAGGCTACATATTGGTGACAATTTGTCAGATGGCTCATAATATTTGTTGCTACTGATTTTATAATGAAAATAAACTTGATTTAGTAAATATTAATAAAACACTGAGATATAAAGCAATAAAATCTAAGTTATTCATTGGTAGCAATTATTCTATGGATCCTAATCTCACTGCCAAGCCCTACTGAAGAGATTTTCATAATAAATTTCAACAACTTTATAGTGTAATACTAGTATAACATACATGTGCGACTGACAATGTCGACACATCGATTACGAACGGTATAAAACAGCCATCACGAAGATTTTCAACAACCTCATGTTATATTCTGTATTCTTTTTTCCTTACAAAATATTGTCATAGTACACATTTATACTTAGTACTTTACAAGTCATTCAATGTATGTTACAATTTGATTATTTTCAAATTCATCATGTAATAAACATTATGATCAAAATCTAATCTTACATACCCTTTCACAGAGAGTCAGACATTTTAGAATACCAAATGCAGTCTTAATAATTATTTATGTTACTTATCAATTATTGATTTTGCATAAAAAATAATATAAATGTATTTTCTTACACTAAACAATATTATAGTTGTCTAGTTCTCAGAAACTGTTTACGATTAGAAAAATTGTCTTGCCACGTAATAAAAACGAATATTTTGCAAGGTGAAATAGTCTAAAAACATGCAATGGTTGTTGAAATCCCTCAAATAACAACTTATAATATAATCCTAGAAGGCACGCGATAGAAACATCAGATCATCAATAATCTCTGACTAAGGCACGTCAATACAATTCACAAGTAACTCGTTGCGCGAGGCAGGACACCACAGGGGAAATAATATAAATATAGTAGAAATAATAGCATCCACGAGAATCTTTGTGTATGATCTTTGAGCGGTAGATAAATTGACACGAACAAGTTATAAATAGGTATTTGTATGTAAATACAAACAGTAAAGAACACCAGGCATCCTGCCCCACAGTCACACAATAATACTTTCATTGATTTACATATAAATTCATTTAAACACACCCACAAAGGGATATCATATAAAAATCCATTCAACAATCACAAAAACTCTGTAAGTTCATAAAAATCACTTTCTATACAAACATCATTTAATATAAAACATTAAATAAATACACAATATACAAAATCACTAGATGAAGGTGGAACATTTTGTCATCTCAGTCATCAATCGTACAAATCTCAAGGTAATAGATCTATGATCCAGTCGATCGATATTATATCTTACATCTATGTGTATAAAGTTCATAATATATTACAATATTGTTTTCAATCAACCTTAGGCCCAAATTATGTTATAATTTGCGTAAGGCATGCTCTGATAACTGGCGAGTTGAGCAACATCGAGTATCGAGAGGTCCAACAATTATAATATCGATTAAATTGACTCGATAATACATAATGTTAGGATTAAATTTTAAACTTATATTAGTCAATCTCATGTAATCAGAAGTCACTTTTATTAATGTCCACGGGACACTTGTATGAAGCAGCACTGTCGTTACATTACGTTAGTGTTGTTATGTATGTCGATTCGTTATGTGTCGTTATATAGTCGTCTATATGAGCCGCGACTGCTTGAGGTAGTGCAGCAGCAACTGATGCAGGAACTTGTACTGGTGCACGTTCTGTATCATGTTGGCGCGCTGTTGGTGCAACATGCTTATTGTACGAGGGATGTCCAGCTCCTGGAATAGGCATAACATAAAAATTAAAATTAAAAGCATGAAATTTGTTTTACAATTAGTTATTTGATTGTTATTATCACATATATCATATCTGTTTTATAAGGCTTTCAAATTCGTCCATATTTTTTGTATAACGACCGCCCTTGGTATATAATTAATGTATGATGTTATATTCTTCCCTGCTCATATTGAGAGTTAAACACATCAATATATCGCAATCTGGCTTGGAGCAGAAGTGGAAACAGGGCAAGTTATAATCAGTAAGAGTCCAGCACTCCCTTTCGAAGCGAAATCAATGTTTTTTCTTCTTAAAAAAACCGAGGAGCTATGGAGTACCTGACAACGTTCAAGAAAGATCTAAAGCCCAACATCTGAAATTGTTACACCAATTGTACTTTTTGGAAAATAAAACTTGAGATCATCCGCGAGGTCTTAAAAAACAAGACTTTCGTTTAACGGTCTAAGTGGTGTGTTTACCACAGTACCTGATTATTATCGAGTATATCGTGCAGCAGGTCTGCGGCGAGCGCCGTCCCGCTGCGGCCCGCGCCGTGCTCGCAGCACAGCACGAGCGCTGCGCCCGCGCCGCCGCCGTACAGCGCGCCGCCCGCGCCGCCGCCCTGCAGCGGCCCGCCCGCGCCGCCGCCGCGCAGCGCGCCGCCTGCCCCGCGGCCTGCGCCCGCTTCTGCTTCGCACGCCAGGCGCAGGCTATTCACTTCTGATAGGAATGCTGTGGAAAACCATTACAACTATTATATGCAATTACTTTGAAAAGAAATGTCGAACGAAATCTAGAACTCGTGATAAGAAATCCTGACGAATTTAATAAAATAGATACTTAAGAGGTCATACAAGAGCCCGCTTTCACTAATCTCTTATATTCTAAGTACAAAATTTTTTAAAGTATACTAGCTTCTGCCAGCGGCTTCGCCCGCGATCCCAGGGGTAAAATGCTTATGTATCACTTCAGACCATAATCTACCTCTGTTCCGAATTTCATTCCGGTCCCTTCAGTCGTTTTAATATGACTGAGTAACAAACATACACATAAACAACCATTGGCCTTTCAGTTACAGCGTAAAGTCTATGAATGAGTATTGTAAACGTTAGAGTAGACAAATACAATTAGAAATCACCGAATTGCTAAGCTATCGGGAGTTTCACGTGTTATTGTGAGTCAACCATAAAAGATAGACATACGCTGTCGAGGAATATTTTTTATATAATTTTAAGGAGAATATTTCCGTCATACATGATTTCTATGCAGCATTAACCTATAAGCCTGCACACGCGACGGAAGCTTAAAAAATGGAGTAACTTCTCCCGTTTTCCCAATATTTCCCTTCACTGCTCTGCTCCTATTGATTGTAGCGTAATGAAAAGTATACTATAACCTGCCCAAGAGTATGAAGAATAATTGTGCCAAATTTCGTTAAAATCCATCAAGTAGTTTTTGTTTCCATAACGAACATACAGACAGACAGACAGACAGACAAAAATTTTACTGATTGCATTTTTGGCATCAGTAGCGATCCCTAACCACCCCTTGATAGTTATTTTTTAAATATATTTTATGTACAGAATTGACCTCTCTACAGATTTATTATAAGTATAGATTACAATGATTGCTTAGAGGTAAAGCAATCGGGAAATGTTAGTTTCACTTCACAAGGTACTTAAATATTTTTATTATTGTACTTTAAAGTTTTAATGTTTTTATCTGTGTTTGAACTACGAAATGGCCATGCTAATGACGTCATTACGGTAGTAAACAAAAGTGTCAGCTGTCATTGTACTAAGTGCGTATTACTATCAGATGTAGTTTACTGAATGAATACTGACGTAATGACGTCATGACTACAAAACAATCATGGCGTCCGCTGTTTGCCACGTTTTCGCGAAATACGCGCGATTTTTGAAATTATGATAAAATAATTAATTTATATTCGAACATAACGCAAGAAAAAATTTTTAATTTTTGAGAGGTATATTAGGGCTATAGAATTTGTTTTAGTTACCGAGGAAGTGTGCGTGTGAGTCTGGCGCGGCGCCGGCGTTGTGCCACAGCGAGTACTGCACGTGCCACAGCGACCGCACGCGCCCGCCGCTGCGCACGCGCACCAGCACCGACGCGCCCCACGCCGCACGGGACGACGCGCCGCACGACACCTGGAACTGGGGGGGGGGGGGACATTCATGCTATTACACATACAAGAGACATGCTTCAGCACGAATGGGCCGGCTCCACCGGTGTGAAACTACAGCTGTACAGAAAACTGGCGTGAACCAACCGAAGCGTTCGTTCGACGTATTAGTAAGGCTACCAGAGGCCCATTTCTATCCTCTAAATCTTCAAATTCCGAATCCTTAATCTCGGCAATGCACTTGTAAATCAAGCGCTGCGCGCGACGTCGACAACTTACTATTAGGAGATCCGTCTGCCGATTTGATAACAATCAAAATGCCAACAACTTTACAATGACTACAAATACATACCTTCCCGAAGTCCTTAGTGGTATTATCATGCGGCAGGTAGTGCGGATGGCCGGGGCCTGCCACGCGCGCCAGTAGCGGCGCCCCGACCTGCCAGGCGGCCTGCCACACGAGGGCGCAGCCCCCGCCGCACGCGCAGCCCGCCGCCGCCGGGCTACTGCTGGCGGACGCGTTACCCACTTTGGCTATCACGTAGAAGCGTTGAGTGCTGCCTACTGTCATCTGGAAGAATGAAGAAGCCAGGTTTTATTACCTTGGAGCCGCGGAAGACTTAACGGATTGCCGGGGCTCCGGCTCGAAGTGCAGGAGTAGGAACGGGGTGGTTTTTAGTCAGTAAGAGTCTGACACTCCCTCCCGCCTCACCCAGGCGGGAGAAATCATTGGATGATATTCCCCCATCAAAAAAAAAGGTTTTATTACCTTATTTTCCTATGATAGTTTTTCAAACGAAGCTTATTAAAAAAGAATAATGAGAGACAAATGTTATGATAGAAATATGGACAAGGTTTTGAAGTAAGTCGCATGACGAATTAAGCGCAGTTAAAATATCCTCTTTTTATAATTATCAAGGAACCTTTTAATTAAGATAGGTACTCCCTCACCTTAAGTAACTCTTAGTTAAAAGAAGGTTTAGCAATGTTTGTTACAAACGATCACTTTGCTTCGAACACAGCATAACAAATGCTGTTTATAGATCTATGGTTTAATTAAATAAAAAGTCAGTATTCGTGTGAATCTATAAGTGGCTCAATGTTACTATTCTTCTGCTAAATGTATGTAATGTAGCTGTTGATTCACCATTCAATAAATAAATAAATAAATAAATAAATAAATAAAAATTGAATCCTAAACACTAGCAGATCAAACCTACATCAATCAAGATTTTGTAATAAACTTGCAACTTTAATATTCTGTAATAAAGTTCAAAATGATTACTTACAGTGATATGCGAGGCATTAATATACCCATGTGGGTTGTTAGGCGTAGGGTGTAATCTAACTCGGTTGTCTTCATACGGCAGGTGGTCGGCACTGAACCCGTTGAGGGCGCCGTGCTGCGGGAGCAGGGCGGTGCGGAAGTCCCCGCCTGTCTCGCGGCCCTTCGGGATCTGCTCGAATGCAAACGATAGCTGCTCGTCCGACATCTTGCGCTCTAGGATTTGAATCTGCGAATGAATGATTGGACCTTAAGAGAGTGAAGAAGATTGTGTGGGGGCTCAAGTTGTGACACGCCATGGACAGGATTATAACCATTGCACCTACTTAATTATGCTGATTATACCGTAATATGGACCTCACTTATAGATTATCATCATCATATCAGCCACAAGACATCTACGCTTGAACATAAGCCTCTCTAAAGAGAGATACATCGACTGGAAACATGTTAACGGATATACTTTAAGTAAGTGTGGGAGAGCCATGTTTCGTCACGAATGGCCCGGCTCGACCAGAGTGATACCACGGCCTTACAGAAAACCGACGTGAAACAACGCTTGTGTCGTGTGACTGAGGTTACTGGAGCCCCAATTACCCCCTCTCCAATCTCCCCAATTCCCGAATCCCCGACAATCCTAAAATTCCTAATCCCTAAAATGCCGGTAACGCACTTGTAACTCCTCTGGCGTTGCCATGGACGGCGATTGCTTACCATCGGGTGATTCGTATGATCGGGGTTTCCGGCTTATTTCATAGAACTTTACTTAGGGTAAAATCACTAAAATGAAAAAGTTATATAAAAGTTCTATGAAACTGCTCTTTTGAGCAGTGGGCGGAAATGGATTGATGATGAATAAAGATATTGTTTTGCTTGTTGCTTATCCATACACAATGGTGTGGATTACATGTGTTTACATACAATTTATTTTAAGAAACATGTGTTGTTTGTATTGTATTGCATCGCATTGCGGTTTTTCGTTTGTTCCTAGTAAATACAATGAATACAATAAAACATATTCTGAAAAGTCGTAATGCAATAGCTGTTTATGTAAATAAAAATAGCGGTAATTAATACTGGTTTGTGAACGACAAGTTGGTAGAACTTGTACATATAATGAAAAGCTAAAATTATCTTCGTATAGATTTAGACGAGAAACAGCAGCCATGACAAACAGGGCGAGGAGAGTAGAAATCAAAATGTATGTGGATGACACTGACAAATATCAAAATTTACGTCAATTCCATATAATTTGGTTTTCTATTCTACATGTAGACAAGCGCTAAATGGCATTTGACTATAGCTGCAGGATTGTTAAATTTAATTTTATTACTATTTTTATTTAGTTTCCCCTGTCTTAATGTTTCTGTCTATAATTAAATCTTATTTATCTGTAGGTTTAACGCGACTGCCTCATTGGCCGAGTGGTCGCAAGTGTTACTGCCGGGCAAGGGGTCTCGGGTTTGATTCCCGGGTCGAGCAAAGTATTCCGGGATTCTTCAGTAGTAGCACGGAGTCTGGTGCCCGGTATATGGCAATAGGCTCACGCCTTATTACATGGGATTCGTAACACAAATAGTGAAAAGTGAGCGTTACATTGTACAGTGGCATTAAGTGCCGTAATGCACCTCTGCCTGCCCCTTCGGGGATAAAAGGCGTGATATGATGTTACGTAATCAGTTTTAAACCGATTTCCCAAAAAGAAGGTCTCTGCTCTCTGATTCACTACGCTACGTTTGGACGTACAATGAATAGTACACAGTTGTTTGTCTACTATCAATTAGTCATAATAGTTAATTACACATACATTATAGTCGGTAATATAATACGGAGTACAAATCGTAGTATGTTGTTGTAGTGCAGTTTGTTGATAAACAACGCGTGCGGTATTTAAACGTGATTGCATAATAATTGGAATGAACAGATTTTGGGAATCTGTATATCCGCTGTAATGTAAATAAGAATTACGACGAATAGCGATGACTGCTCCGTTGGCTGAGTAGTCGCAAGTCCGACTGCCGAGCAAAGAGGTTCGGGTTCGATTCCACGATCGGGCAATGTATAATTGTTTTTTTTAATTCTCAGTAGTAGCATGGAGCCTGGAATGTGTCCGGTATATGGCACTAAGCTCGATCACCCCCTATTACAGTGGACTCATAACGCAAATAGTGAAAAGTGGGTGTTGCAATGTGCATTGTACAGTGGCATTAAGTGACGTAATATGCACCTCAGCCTACCTCTTCGGGAATAAAAGGCGTGATGTTGTTATGTAAATAAGAATACTAAGTTTGATCTATTTTAAAAGATTTGTAACGCAGGTTTTGATGTGTGAGGAAGGGATTGTTACACTAAAATTTTTATTTAATTTGATAACTAATTAATGAAAACTATTTATCTAAACGTTGATCAGGCTAAAACTCGAGAACGGGGAGACTAAATTTGATAATTCTTATTCACCTCTATACAGTTACATAGAGTTTGATACAAAATATTGCTGGGAAAGATTAGAAAAATGTGCGAACCCAGACGGAGTGGATCGTTGCTTGCAAATAATGATTATGATATTTATTCGTTTGAGTTTATTCTAAGGAGAATCCTTATCTTGTAGCCAATAGTAACATAATGTTTTTATTACTCAGTAATCAATATTACATTTTCCTTGTCAGTTGAAATTATGTTAAAATATTTTATTAGCTTAGATACAGGTCCAGTAAACACTGCTAAGCCCCACAATCAGATCGTGTTACCGATACGCAAATTGTTATCATAAGACCATACCAGCTGCATTGTATAATATTACTATCTTTCTAATTATAATACTTTTTTGTAACATTGACTTTTTCTGTTACAATTTTTATTTATAGTCTCAGTGGAATAAACTTATTTATTCCATTCATGAGTTGATGTCACTGATTTAAATTCACTGATATTTTTCATGAAAACTATGTATCATACACGTAATAATAGTAGAAAAAAATTGTATTAGTTCTTATATTGTGAGAAATATATAACAAGTTTAACTTACCATAGTTTCTTTGGTGATGCTGGGTGGCAGTGGCTGGAATTTAGGCAGGCCGGTAGACCAACGATGCGTATGGGGCGGCGGCGCCGGCCTAGACCGACCCAGCGTGGCGCTGCGGGCCTCCGACTTGTTGGCGCGCCCCATGAACACTCCCCACCGTCTCCGCTTCTTCTCCTTGCTACTGGCCTTGCTAGTGTCCGTGTCCATGCTACTGGCGGTGGTGTCGGCCGTGCTGTGGCTGATGTCCGGCGCGGTCGGGCGCGAGTCGCCGACTAGTATGGAGGTGACGTTATCTCCCTTGTGGATCGTGTTGTTGTTGCTGACGCGGTGCGCGGACAGACTCTGGTAGGGCGTCTCGTCGGCCTCGCGCTCGTCGTGCAGCGCCACGCGCTCCACGGACAGCGCCACGGCCTCCAACTCCGCGTCCCGCACCGACCGGCTCGACGCCGACAGCTCCTTGGGCACGCTGGACTCGCGCACTCCTTTGATTATCTGCGCGTTCACGTAGTGGCTGTCCGGACTGTCCACCTTGACAGGGCCGTACGGGATGTTTATGTTCGGAGACAAATATTTGTTTATCGTCGGGTGACTACTGTTCCGTTCGTTTAGCCTCGCGATCTCGTCAGTAGTGGTAAGACTCTGTGCACGGTCCCGCATTGTAATCTTCCCCTCGTTCTGCCACGGTAACGGTACGTTTTCATAGATAGGTTCCTGTGTGTCTCCGAGCTTGATTTGTTGTGACTGCGGTAGTACGACGTGCCTCTGGTACGGTATCCTGTGCATGGGCATGGAGTACATGATGTTCCCTCGCTCGTCGTACACCTTCTGTATGTTGTCGGATATATGGTGGGGGTCGAGTATGATGTGTGGCTTGGGGTCCATGACGGAGGCGAGGTTGTTGTAGGTCCCGTGCGTGCCAGGCATGACGTTGGGCCGTCCGTAGTTAATGTGACTAGTATTGATGTAGCCCAAGTACTGCCTGTTGAGTGCGGAGCGCGTGGAGACCAGGTCGGGGCTGGAGCCCGACACGTGCGAGTTGATGTACCCGCGGTGGTAGTTGAGGGCCTGGCTGGCCACGGCCAGGTCGGGGGTGGAGTTGGAGGCCAGCCCGTTGGAGGGGTAGGGGGGCGGGGGCTTGTACACGTTGACGAAGTGGAGCTGGTTGAGATCGGTCTGTACGTTGGGGTTGACTGCGAAGGGGTAGTTGGTGCCGATGAAGTTGAGGGGGTAGGGGTAGTCGTCTGCGGGCTGGCGGGGGGTGTGTCGAGTGACGTCAGGGTACATGCGCGGTATGTCGGGGTGTGACCCGTATGGCTTGGCGGCCCGGCCGTAGCGCAGCGCTGCCTCGGCGCGTTGTTGTTGGTACTTCTGTTGTATGGCAGTCTCGTAGTCCGGGGCCGGCCGGTACGACGGGAGGAGCGCTCTACAACAACATAAACATTATGTTTAATTATTGCATTTACTGTCTGTCAGTACTGCCAAGGAAGATAACTTGAACTGAATATCTTGGTCGAACAAAATAATATTGATCTGTATAGATTTTTGCAAGTTCCAAGGTTAAAATGAATGCTCCTAGAGAGAAATAATTTTACGACCGATGAAAATAAATAAATATGAATACTCTATTATATTATGATGAGTAACATAAAAAGTTTTTATTATGGTTACAGTGGTTTTGATTTCAACTGAAAAATAAAATACTTTAATAAAATAAATATAAACAAAACTTTTCTAAATTACATACCTATTCTGCGGCAGCGGCGGCGGCTGATGCTGCAGATGATGCTGGTCGGCGAGCTCGAGACAGGAGGTGGAGTACGCGCGGTGCGCCGCACTCAGCGGCTCCAGGCGCGACATGCTGCCCACCTCGCGCGCGTCCAGCTCCTCGCGGCTGTCCGACAGACCGTGCTCCTGGGGACGTATTGAGCCAGCAGTAGTACCAGAGGGAATTAAGGTTTTCGATTTTAGATTCACAAGATGGCACTAGTGAGTCATATGTTCATATTATCATATTATGTATTTATGTAATGCCGGAATACTGAAACGTTAATTAATTTTATTTAATCGTGCCATCTCTGTCATTTTACAAAGAATTTGTAGAGACAGAACTATGTACACTTAAGCGCGACTTAAACTTGAGTAGCGTTTGAGTATTCCGACATAACTATCTGTATTTTTTTTATTTTTCATAATCATTGTTTGTGTGCCATTTGCCAAATAAGTAAATGCTTTTTCTTTCTTTCTTTCATATGGTCGTATAAATTCAATCAGCTTAAGTATCACAAGTAATTGAAAAATGTATTCTATTGGTCAATAGACCCTAAGCTATACTAGCGCCTCTGATGACACAAACTCCTTCATAGAACTAGTCATATTGGGATTTAGAAAATGTGGAAATTTTTACATGCTTATAAAAGACAAGAATGTAAAAATACAATCATGACATTAGTTTAATTAAATAAAGAACAAAATGTTGCTACCCACGCACTGTTAGACAAGAGGCTCACGCAATAGATATGAACATGTAGTACACTTAATAATACGTTACCCACTGTATAATTATAGTGAACAATAATTATAATTACATTAATTAGTTAATTGTTGTCCTGACAATTGTCACTAAGTGGTACAGATTGGAGCAATCTTGTTGTGTTGGAATAAATTTGTACGCTTCATAATAAACTGGAATTAGATTTGATTACTGAGTACAATGTTAAGAGAGGTCGTGGCTTAATTTCAACGGCAAAAAGAAATATATTTTGGGTCTTTAATGTTGAGCCCTACTGAGGTGTGTAACTCTCTTGTGTAACTGTATAGGTAGTAATTATACGAACCAACACCGATTTCATATTATTATGACACAAGTACACACCACACTTGGACGTCAATTTGTAGATTATATTTTTGCGTGCGGAAATGGAATCCGCAATAGTGCTTAGCCACTATAGTCTCTCACTGCATCCACAGTGTAATAGCATTATAACGGCAAAGATCTTGGTTGTATACCAAAAGCATACGAGAAAAATCAGGTCAATTTCTAAATGGGTAGTTTTACGTAGAATTAATTAGTGCGAACCAACAATAATCATGTCGTGTCGTAAATAAATAAAAGCAATTAGTATATAATGCGAGGTATGTAGGCAAGTAATAAATATACCGCATGGTATGCGCGTGCGCTGCACTTTCTCGGCGCGTTACAGCTGTAGTAGTTAAATAACTCAATAACTTATAGATTCGCTCGGAAGTGGTCTCGATGGGCGCGGAGCGTGCGCGCGCGCACGATGCTATCTCCCGATCTATAACGCGCGCTATTCACGGCAATACTGATTGCGATCGCCTTGCTTATTTCCGGCCGTCGGTGGTCCTATTATTATTTTTTTAGTTAGTGACTTGTTTTAATTTTCTTTGTGTTTCGGATGTTATTTTTCGTGTGGAAGATATGAGTCAGTCGTTAAATAAAAAAAGTAATAAATTATTGGACATTTCAATTTTCACAAAAGAAAAAAGATATTGGACAATCAGCTGAAGTGCCCAAGAATTTGACCGCGAAAAAATTTTCAAAGATAATAAACGTTATAATTTAAATGATTATACAGTGATTTGTATTAATTAGTGCGTTTTGCATTTAAATGAATACATAGTTTTGAATTAGCATATGAATGTTTTTACAAATTACTCAATTAGTGAGGACGTGAAATAATTAAATGGAATTGCATACTACTTGTACAAGTCAGATGCAACAGCAAGATGTAAGATATTGTCAACGGCTGGTTTTATCATAATTTAGAATTTTGTACCTCATTTAGACATAATAAATGTGTCGCAAATTGTTTAATCCTACTAATATTTAAGTGTGGGAGAGCCATGTTTCGGTGCGAATGGGCCGGCTCGACCGGAGTGATACCACGGCCGAGCAGAAAACCGACGTGAAGCAACGCTTGCGTTGTGTTTCGTCGCGTCAGTGAGGTTACCGGAGGCATAATTGTCCTGTCCTACGGGAACGCAGGCAAGGCTGCTGTCAGAGGAGAGTAAATCTATTGATTTACTCTAACTACTAACGCCTTATTAGTCTTTGATATTACTTTAAAACATGACACAGAATCGATTAAAACTTTATATCGCAACAGTGTATGGGAGTTTTATCTCCGAGTGAATTGGCGCGGCGATGGCGCGCACACTTTCATAGCGCGCATAACTAGCTAATTGTTATTTAACGCTACACGGTAGACACCATCCGATGGTTTACAAAAACCACGCAACATCGCTTAGCATAATGTCTCAAGTTTTCTTACTATAATGTAGAATAGGAAATTATACGGACACTTTTCTTTCCAAGTATTTAGATTGCTGGGTGCATAATGCTTGGGAGGTTTCTTTCTTGTTTTATTTGGAAAATCTTGAGGCGATGAAAGCGTCTATCAATCAAGAATGAAAAAGGGAGTTAATCTGAGAAAAGGTATATTAAGATTTCTTTTCTCTTGAGAAGCCGTCGCCGTAATAATAGCAGCCTAATAATAGTGCCGGTCAAAAACGGGTGATTCCATATGTGTCTATCGGGTAATTGCTATGTATGCGCCCTCTCATTTGCTATGAAGCAGATATGGTAGGTACGTTACAAGTAATTAAGACGTAATGAATGAGAAACCCGTCAAGAAACATGTCAAGGTCAAAGTAGAAGTAAAGATATTAATAATATCGAAAACCTGAGTAAGAAGTCTTTACAAACAAAGGGAGAATAGACAGCTTGTATCAATCAATCCCAACACTACCAAATAAATCCAGTACCTGGAACTTAGGCCTATGTTCATCTCGAGGAGCTTCACTGAGCGCGCTCTGGTGCTTCATGTAGAAGGTGTGTTGCTGGACGCAGGACCACCACACGTACTTCCCATCCTCGGGGCTAGCCAGCGTGAAGGAAGCTGAACCAGTCTGCTTCTGACACTCTATGCTGAACGTGCGCTTGTGGTTTATCACGTTCGTTATGTCCATCCATCTGTAAAAATAGAAATATACTGCTTTAACTCATGGGAAGTCAATAAAAGTCATATTAGGGCAGCGAACGTTTATCGGAATTACCGGATGGTAAGCGGTCAGTCCCACTCACGTCATGACTGCCTGTCAATGTCACCCGTAACACCAGAGGAGTCGCAAGTGTGTTGCCAGAATAGATCACCTGTTCTTTAAAGTAGGAGTTACAATTTAATATGCTGTGCATCTCTGATTACCACAAGGTGTCAATTATAATGTCAGAAATTAGTTAAAATGTGGCTAGGTGTTTGTTTTTGCTGTGTCTTAAATGCATTTACAAAAACTTAAAAAAACATTACCATCACACGGAGCACATAAACAGATGTTACGTGCGCAAGCATCACAACTCAATGTTATGAGAAAGTTACATGTATGAAGTACAAAAATTATAAATCTTTGCAGAATAAGTGTAAATCTCTAACTCGACTCCAAATTCCGTAAAAACCCATAAATATTATTAAGGCTGCATTAAAGAATTTACAATTTCTTTCTTCAATAAAACTGGAAACTAATATCTAGAGAGAGAGACAACTTTCTCTGAATGAAACGAAATAAGCAGATAATATACAATAAATAAAATAGTTTCTTTATTCACTGCAAGATGCGATTGAAACGTGTTTTTCATTGAAATCCAACATTAATATGGATATGGCAAATTAATGTTTGCACGCCATCGCGATAGTTGGAGATACATGGCAGGTGATTGTAGAAACATCATAATGTCTTTAACGAGTAATGACACGCATTCATACAACACCAACAGCCTGTGGTAGTACCCTATTAGGCTATACCTTCTCCAGGTAAGGGGGTTCGCCATAATTCTCATCTTGGCAGACGACTTATATAGAGATCGCTGTTAAATCTCTCCAAAATTCAAAACAGTTCGGCTTCCAAATTCCCGAAAAATTCATGCCACAATATTTTTTTTACGGGATAAGCCGGTAAACGAGCAGACGTATCACCTGATGGTAAGCAATCGGCGTCGCCCATGGACACCTAGAACACCAGAGGCGTTATAAGTGCGTTACCGGCCTTTTGGGATTAGAAAATAGGAGGATTGTTGGGGACTCAGGGATTGGGAAAGGGGGGGGGGGGTAATTGGGCCTCCAGTAACCTCACTCACACGACGAAACACAACGCAAGCGTTGTTTCACGTCAGTCTTCTGTGAGGCCGTGGTATCACTCCGGTCAAGCCGGCCCATTCGTGCTGAAGCATGGCTCTCCCACACTTATTAGTCTATAATATGACGACCATTTTTGTATTTTAAATTAAATTATGTTTAAAATTGTTAAGGAGCTACTAAATACAAAGACGTTAAAACGAAGGACCAATTAATTCGATACATATTTCAATAGCTACAATGCAATTGTTGGATCCGGTCCAAACACAAATATTTATCACATTCATGTCAAAGGAATCGTAATAAAATAGCACATCATTGTTTTTTATAAGATAACGTAAGCATTATTTATATGAGGCCTTTAATTCTTCGGAGAATAAGCAGAGGTAGCATATTCTATTGTTACTAGCTGCTACTTTTTATCGTGGTTATGGGGTTATAGTCATATACCGCATAAGTTTTCGTCCTTATTTCACAACTACGATACTGGACACCCAGACTATCCTAATGCATTAGGAAACTTATATCAATTAATCTATGTAACTGGCAAATTTACAATAACTCAACATTATAAAAGAAGAATCAAACTACCATAACTTCAACTAGCACTGAGAAACACCAGTAGCACCGGCTTTTTATGACCTACTAAATGTTTTCCTAACTCCTTCAAAAAGTGGTATTGGAGCAGAATATTCTTGTATATCAATAATATACGTATGTGATTGCTTCGTTGGCCGAATGGTCGCAAGTGCGACTACCGGGCAAGGGGTCTCGAGCTCGATTCCCGGGTCGGGCAAAGTATAACTGGGGTTTTAAAAATTCTCAGTAGGTGCACGGAGTCTGGAAATGTGCACGGTATATGGCAATAGGCTCAGCTCCTATTACATGGGACTCATAAATAGTGAAAAGTGGGTGTTACATTTAGTACAGTAACATTACATGCCGTACATAATGTGCACCTCTGCCTACCCTTTCTGGGATAAAAGGCGTGATGTTATGATGATGAATGTATGTAGTATTGTAAAGGTCGTTCGGAGTTACACTACTGTCCATACTTCTGTAGGATCGGACAACGGATTCATTCATTACGGTACAGTCTATAGTGTTATTCAATGGGTAATACATTGAAAAGCGAACAATGAACATAAACTAAAGGCTTATGTCCATTATGTTATTTACAGGCACAATGTAAATATTGTTAGTATTGATATACTTATTATGTGGAGTCAACCTTTGCAAGTATAGCATCTTTCATATGAGGTACATTTGTTAAAAACTGAAGGAATGACGACTTGCCGTCTCTCCCGAATGTAACACAGACCAACAAATTGTTAATTTGAATCATTTCATTATTTGGATCTCACGTAAGAAAGGGGCGAAGTGACAGGGATCTCTATTGTATAGAGAGAGCCGTGTCCAATACTGCGACGTTTTGTATCAAGTGTTGCACGACGACATATTTAATATCAATTTAATTTGATTCATGCCAAAACCCTGTCATTTCGCTTTTTATTTTCTGAACAACATGGTCGGGTTTTGTAGTTCTAGTGGAGTTTAGTTGGGTTTATTCCACTTTGTTCACCTGGGTGATTTCACCTAGGTGAACAAAGTAGACTTTTTGGAGTCCTCAATTCGCCTGGGAATTATTTCACCCAGGTGATATCACCTAGGTGAATTGAGTTGACTCAAGTAGTCTCCTTTGTTCACTTGTCAATTTAATTCACCCAGGTGCACAAAGGCGACTTTTTACTTTTACGTTGTGGACTTATATCACCTACCTACCTTACATCAAGTTAAATAAAAACTTTCAATTTAACATACATTTTAATATGTTCAAATATCAGATTAATGTTGGTCTATTACACATGCAAAAATATATCACAACTTCTAACACTACGCTAGGAGTTCCATGTAATAGGGGTGAGCTTATTGCTGTACACTGGGTATAATACCAAACTTCATAGTGTTCCATGCACCTTAACTACCTATACATTCAGTAATTACGTAGTTGTTGCTTCTAATGTTTTCTCGGAGTTTTAAAAATTGGCTATTTTGTAGATTTTGATGTGATCTTTCCGATTATCATTTTGCCAACCACTTCGTAGTTCCCATGAGTATGAAGAATGATTGAACCAAGTTTCGTTAAAATCCGTCGAGTAGTCTTTTCTATAAGACATACAGGCAGACAGTCAAAAATTTTACTGTATGCATTTTTGGCATTACTTAGTAGCAATCACCCCCTGATTGACCTGACCCTGATTATTTTGGAAATATATTTCGTGTACAGAATTGACCTCTCTACAGATTTATTACAAGTATAGATAAATAGTTTTGGCGGGACCGCAAAGTAGGTACACTTCAATGAACATTTAGAAGGATTTTCAGACCACATGTGGAAATAAAATTTCGTTCGTAATTATACCCAGTGTACAGCTATAAGCTGGAACTCCTAGTGTAGTGTTAGAAGTTGTGATATGTTTTTGCATGTGTAATAGACCAACATTAATCTGATATTTGAACATATTAAAATGTATGTTACATTGAAAGTTATTATTTAACTTGATGTAAGGTAGGTAGGTGATATAAGTCCACAACGTAAAAGTAAAAAGTCGCCTTTGTGCACCTGGGTGAATTAAATTGACAAGTGAACAAAGGAGACTACTTGAGTCAACTCAATTCACCTAGGTGATGTCACCTGGGTGAAATAATTCCCAGGTGAATTGAGGACTCCAAAAAGTCTACTTTGTTCACCTAGGTGAAATCACCCAGGTGAACAAAGTGGAATAAACCTTTAGTTGAACGGATATAAAGAATTACAATTAGTAACCTGATACGAATCCTTGTAGTTAAACTGTAAATAGATTAGGTCGTCGCAGTGAGTAGTATTAAACCGTGGCCTACGTCTTTATTTCAGACTAGCTACTTCCGCGCGGTTTCACACGCTCTGCTCAGCTCCTATTGGTCGTAGAGTAATGTTTTATAGCCTATCCTTAATAAATGCGCTATCCAACACAAAAAGAATTATTCAAATCAGACTTGTAGTTACAGCGATTAGCGCGTTCAAACAAACAAACAAAAAAACAAACTCTTCTGCTTTATATAATAGTATAAGATAGGTAAACGTAATTAATGATTGCCCTACTTACTAAATTGAACGACTACAAAATAGTAAGAAATGCCGCCATATTTTGAGTACATTTCATACTTTAATTTTAGAAAATGAATTTTCTGCACAGCTTGATTTTCATTTTTGTGATCGAGAAACCGTTATGTCGTAACAGGAAGTGATAAATATATGAAAATAAGTAGGTAGATACTTTACTATAGAAAGTATTCATATATCACCGTCACTATACATATGATTACCTGTAGAAATGAGGAGTCTCGCTGGTCTCCGTGAGCACTCGGATGCCAGTGAGTGAGATGGCGATGGTGACCTCGCTCTGGTTGAGCTGGTCGCGGGCGCTGAACATCTCCTGTCCGTACCCGCGGAGCTGTTGACACGTCGTGATGAAACCTTCTTCTGCTTGCGCCTGTCATCAAATCACAAGTTCAGAAAAATAGTATGGAGGACTGCGGGGGGGGGGGGGGGAATTATAAGGTTTCTGTACAATAACTATAGTCAGAAATTCGAAACAACTGTACGACTTATCAGTAAAGGTCACTCAGTCACTGAATATGAGTACCGGGGTGGATTTAAAACTATATATTTCAGTTAATTATAAGGTTCTGTTTTGAGATTTATAATGAGGTTAAATATCAATGTTAAATTCTCCTCACATTATTAGATTATTAAATAATGTACCATGGACATTCATGTTCATCTTTTTAACATCAATGTACGCTTCGGAATTAGCAAATACATAGCTTGAAAGTGCCTTTGGTCTAATTGAAATAAATTCTTTGTAACATTGACTTGAGCTGTACTAAGTAATAGAAGAGAGACGCTTTGATTAACGGTTTACAAATGAGACAAACTGATTGTTTAAGCGTGGTAGCTTTTGATATCGATCTGTATTTGACTGATCTCCGAATGTGATAATCTGCAGTTGCATCAAACACCATGTATGCAAAGGTATGCATAAAATGTTTATCGATTTACATCTGAACAAAAGAATTTACAGATTTCCTAGACTAGACGTAACTAGGTATCATAAACTACGGTAGTTATGACTGAACAATACATATTTTGTGCGAGGTCGTCAGTATACGTCGGTATGTATGTACGTTGGTACGTCACGCTAACGTAAAGTGTGTCCAATTGATTTCATTCACATTTAGGTACACGTATAATAATAGTACGTAGATGCGTATGAGGGACGGGCCTATGTGGCAATGTGGAGAGCTCATGGCCGTTTCCCCCTGCTGCTTTCATCTCTAGATTAGTCTACACATGCCATGTGGTAGCTTGATCGAACTTTTTAGAGGCATCAACAAAGTAATTTTTGTCTAAACAAAATTAACTAGGTATGCAGTTTCAGACATGAATAGGTCCATATTAGTCTCTCACTTCTTAGATCTGCATAACATCATTATTATCACGTCGTATTCGATCGATATTGAACATTGGAATCTTTGATAGAAAACCTCTGAAGTGGATCTTCAGCTGAGGGTATCATTGTGGTAGTACAATCTAGACGAGGTTTAAAACCCAAACCTGAACATATTTAGTTAAGTCATGAGTAGTACTACCAGTTATTACTGCAAGTGTAAGTTATGAGTACAAAGCTAATGTTTTAAAAAGATCGCCTATAGTTACAGTTCATATTCCGCGGTTGTTTAACTAACATTGCGTTTAGCCTGCATCACAAATACTGGAGCTACAGCATTATGCGTTAGTGTGATAGCTATCAAGTTAATGAGACAAGGTGATATTATTAAAGGTGTGTTCTCGACGTACCGACAAACATGTCTTATCAAATATACATAACGATTACATGAGAGATAACGGCGAACATTTTAAAACACATTTACTTTCATTAAAATTAATTTGATGGTTTGGTTTTGGACTGACGATCTTTTGAATAACTTTTTAAATGGGATTTTCTTTTATACGCCATATTACTTGGAACATAGAGGCTATAATAAGGTCAATAGGTACAGTATAAGTAAGAACCAGACTTCTCCAAGACGGTATAAGTAAAATGACGACGTTGAATAAGAATTTCCGTCGACGAGTTGCACACTCTACTTTCGTCACAGAAGTTCACACATAGTATGATGGAGGATTTTGCCATTTGTGATCGTGATAATATGATTTTTTAGTAGATTTTACTTGAATAAACTTTACTTGATGTATGACTCACGCAATGTAGGGTGTCACATAGTTATACACTATCCATAACCCATTTTTTTAAGGGGAGAAAATAATCGAATTACTTCTCTCGCCTGAAGGGAGTGTCAGTCTCTTACTGACTAAAAACCACCCCGTTCCTACTCCTGCACTTCGAGACGGAGTCCCGGTAACCCGTTAGGTTCTCCGCGGCTCCGTATCATCATCAGCCCTATTGGGCACCATCCGTGGTGGTCTGAGGGCTCTTTGGAGTGCGTGCATCCATAACCCATAAGTTAAATCTAGTACGCGCGCTTCTATCTAACTAGGAACATCCATTGCAGAATATAAAGAAGGTGTGACGTTAATCAGAGAATTTACGAACGACTCTCTTGTGGCAGGAGATATTTTTTATGAGATAACTAGAAAGACAAATGATGATCACACTCGGAACACCAGAGGAGTAATATGTGCGTTGCTGGCCTTAGGAGGAAAGGACTACGGCTTCCGATACATCGGCAAGTTGTTACGGTCAAGACAAAGAGGAGTAGGACAATAGTAGACAACTAAGAGATTTCTCTTATGAAGATAGCAGTTGTATTAAATATGGCTCTTGGTGCTGGTAATTGCGCAAACGTACAAAGTGTCTACGTAAGGGGTATTAAATATGGAAACATACATAATACATAGTGTCGCGTTCGGCTCGTCCGATGACAATTTGTCACTCATTCATCAGTGTCGTCAGTTTTTACGTGCGAGAATTGAACCCGCGTCATTTTGTGAAGCAGTCAATACCGCAACCACGGCGCCAACCGTGAGGTCATCAGTTTAAATTAGCAATTCAATTATGTATCTAACATACTTGTGTGTTCAGTGATAGCATTTTTTAAAAGAACATATCGCGAAAAATGTTGATTCTATATGTAGTCTACAAGTAAATAGTTTGGATTTTATTGAAGTGTTGTTTATGTGTGAACATAAATAACTTCTTGTCTATCAGAGCTTTCAATAAAATATCCAAGAGTAAAATTCCACAGCAAGATACAGTTATAAATAATGTATTCTTCTCTGTATGTACATGACAGTGTTGCTAAATATCTTAATTATATTCTAATCAATTCTTTTTCTAGAGATTACATGGCGCTGGTATTGTTTACATTGTGATTGTTATCTACAAACTCATTTGTATGATTTCTGACATGTTAAATTAATTGTTTGTTAAAATGTGGGAATTTCCTGTCACTCGTTATTTTTTAATAAGTAAGATACACCTAATGTTAAAAGCCTAGTGTAACACTTCCCGTATTATGTAGAGTAATGATTTCTTTAGGACCAAAGTTCAATTGCTGATTTGTATAATAATATTATTTGTAGATTACTGACTTCCATAATATCTATGTAGGGCACAGGTAGGCATATTATCTAGTTTTTATCAGCTTTCAAATAAACATAAACTGGGTTGCTATGTCATGAGCACAATTATTTGTTAATGAAAGGCACTGCATGTTGCCTATTGCAGGATTAGGAATGCAAGTCTCATTAATCAGACCATCAGTTAATAAGCAGTGCTTGTATTACAAGCTGGTTTATTTAACTACAGACATAACACAGAATGGTTCCCACACCAATTACTCAGATGGGAACATATCTGTGGAACAATGTCTGTTTAGATATCATTAATCTGATTGGAACTAACATATCTACTGACACACTAAATTATGCACAGTTTGTGAAAGTTTGCAAAGGTCAAGTCTGTAAGAGAAGAGAATCATGTCTATAAATAACATTGACTGGACTGTACAGTTATTTATAGCAGACACACATGTTCCAGTTATGTTCACCGCTTCATAAATATTTCACAAACTAAACATTGGCAAGTGATGGATGCAGAGTTTCCCCCACAGCCCACCTACTTAATGCTATGTTGATCTTGACCTACCTGTGACATGTTGTGCAGGGCCATGTGGTGCTGTATGACTGCCTCAGTCAGCCACTCCAGTCGCCCAGTCTCTGCCAGAGTACTCCCATCTATGATCTGTCCTCCATCTAGCATTTGCTTGGGGAATGTGAGCAAGTTCTTGAGGTAGTCAACAGTATGCCTCTCCCGGTCATGGTTACCATACTCTGCCTGCCTGCTGTATGATGCAAGCACCACTGCTTGCTGGCAGTCACATATGATCCTGCCCTCTATTAAGTCATTCTTCAGCTGCAGGAAGTAGTGGTACCTGGTGACTTCATCAGTGATCAAGCTTGTTCCTGATATCACATAGTACATGACTCGCAGATACAGCTGGTGCGACGACGCATACTTCTCAAGCTGGCGCTTGAGCGGGCGCTCGAGCTGCACCCAGCGCGGCTGCTGGCTGCGGTTGACGTAACGCAGGCCGAACAGCTCGGGCTGCATGACGGCCTGCCGCTGGCACACGTTGTCGAGGCACTCCTGCCCCGTGCTGTCCACGGACAGCGTGCAGTCCGCCACCCCGCCATCCAGCAGCTCCACACTTATCACAAACAAGCTCTTTGATGCTACATTATACTGCCGCGTCTTCTTCAACTTCAACTTGAAAGGCATCTTCCTGAGCTACCCGCCGCCACTTAGCAATAACATCACATAGGAAATAAACGTTACGTTTCGTTTATGGCAAAGGAATGTAGGAAACGATGCATCCGTTACGCGCGCCACATATTTATGACATTTCGTCTTGAATTCGCGACGTAATACAAGTCAGTTGAACGAATTTATGTTACGGTAGTGATGACGTAGGTGTATCGGCGAAAAGTAATAAAAATTGTCGAGTAAACACATATGTATTATGAAAATAAGTAATTCACGTTCACAACATTGAAGCCATCGAGAAAGTGACAATTGTTTGACATTTGGGTGTAGTGTTGCCACTTTTTTAAAATTTATCGATCTACTAACTTGGTAGATTTTAGTTATTAACTGAACTGTCTTGTACTAGCTGGGTGACTGCCGGGTCCAAAGACGTTGAGACGTTGACCATTTTCTTCAACATTCTTGACCGTTGTCAAGATATCGTTATATTAGCTTGAATTTTATTCTGAAAAACTCTGCAGATTATGTGTTAAGCAGAAAAGACTACGCTCGTACTTTTCCCAATAGTGTTAGATAACAAACAACCTACTCAAATAGAATAAAAAAATATCATTATTCTTCAGCTTCACTATTTATTTTGCAGTCTCTTTAATTGTTATTATATGTTTGAGGCCGGGCGCCCACTACCGGTGGTCACCGGTGCGGCTCGAGCGCTTTATGTCGGCTTCGAGCCGTTTTGGGCACCTGAGAGCTGCGTCGGTCGACTTCGGGCTGCGTCGGCAGCCGTAAGCATGGCTAAAGTTGCGAGGCGGTCTTCGGGTAGCTCGGGAGAATAATGAGAACTAAGTTCAGATTCACCCCTATAAAAACACATGCACAACTGTACAATGATGGAGAAGATCTCCGCAGCTCCAACACGGCATCGCGCGACCTCATACTGCACAGTAGATGGTCTACAATTTACAAGAATTAGGTTTGTGGGAGAGCCCTCATTCACCAAACTCACCAGACCATGCGCCTACATACTACTACTTTTTCAAGGATTTGGATAACTACTTCACAGGAAAAAATAAACCCGAGAGGTAGGTAGTTAGTACAAAATACCTTTAAACTATTTGTTGCCTCCCATCTAGCCGAGTTCTTTAAGAAGACCATCAGTAAATTGCCCTCTGCATTGGCAAGATGCATTGATTGCATGGGCGATTATAAATAAAAAATATATGAAAAAAATTTGCTCAATTTTTTTCATACAAAAAGGCATTCTCATAGGTGCCTATTATATTGAACTCTACTTAGTTAAGGTTATTAGAGTCGAAAATTGAGAAGAATTAAATAAAACTATAGCATTATCTAAAACTGTATATTACACTGTAATATTTGATTTTTTTAACAATTTTACACGAACCCATTACCACCAAATAAATAATATAATAACTTATGCTGTTGATCGCGCCTCACGCCCTTCACTTTTATTAAAATTTAGCCATTCCACAGGTTCTTTCAGTACTTTCATCAGCTTCTCTTCGGCGGAATTTTGAGTGGGTTCGTGCATGTATTCCCATTTCTGAAAAAAACATTTAAAAAAATCTGTCTTTAAAATGTTATACTGACAGTTTGTGTGTAATGAATACTACATCATCTGGAAATCATGATTTATTGATTTGGTTAGGTCTATAGTAGGTAGGTAGTTAAGTGTGAGTGAGCCTTGCTTCAGCACGAATGGGCCGGCTCGACCGGAGTGATACCACGGCCTCACAGAAAACCGACGTGAAGTAACGCTTGTGTTGTGTTTCGTCGTGTGTCCTAAATTCCTAATCCCCAAAAGGCTGGTAACACACTTGTAACGCCTCTGGCGCTCCAGTTGTTCATGGGCGACGCCGATTGCTTATCATCAGGAGATCCTTCTGCTCGTTTACCGGCTTATCTCGTAAAAAAATTTCTTAGAAATATTTGTGTTTAGGGGATGACAACGGGCTCGCCTTTGCTTTTGTCTTCTTTACATGACACATGGCACTAACTATATTTTGCTATAGGATAGGTGGTAAATGAAGTGGATGAACTCCAAAGGATTCACAAATGCATGCAGGGAATATTGGTTTAGTTTACTTACGGCGTTCAAAGGTAGAGACATGAGTATGGATTCGTAGCGTGCCTGAGGAGTGTGGAGACCGAACTTGGTGCCTCGGTCGTACATTAGGTTAAACTCGACGTAGCGACCTCGGCGAAGTAGCTGCCACTGGCGCTCGTGGTAACCGTAGGCATCCTCTTTATGTTTCTTCACTAAACAAAAAAATATAATACCGAATTTAGGTCCCTGGTTTGACAACGACTATAAAATTATTCCTTTTTTATATTTTGTCTTACAGCAAGTATCTTTTAGGTTTAGTATTAAGTAAAGTACCTATTATTGAGTTATTGTACTCAAAATTCTCAGTAATAGCATGAGTTTAGAATTGTATGCGATGTTTGCAATAGGCTCATGGCCTCGCATTTATAACAGGGCAAGAGACTCAATATTGCTGGTGAAAAGTGGATGTTAAGACTAAAATATGGAATATAAGATACAAGGAACACTAACCAATAGGTAAGTAACTAGGAATTACTGCTTCAGCGCATGACGTCACAAATTTGAAGGCAGCGTCTTGACTAGGTGTGTCGACGTCATCGAAGAAAATACCGCCAATACCACGACGCTCTCCTCGGTGGGGAATGTAGAAATAGTCGTCGCACCATTTCTTAAACCTATTGGGGTTGGAATATTAGGATATTATTGATAGTTACACTATTTACGTACACTCGAGTAAGTATTTGGAAACGATTCTACAAAATTACAAGATGTGTTGTGTTACACCCAGTATAAGTATTGTGATTGCACGCAAACTAAGATTTAACTAGTTGTTGTGGCCAGTTGAAAGTGTATTTTGTACTATTGGTAGTAAATTTGATTTATTATTAATTACTAGCGACCCGCCCTGGCTTCGCACGGGTGCAATATGCATGTATTATACATATAAACCTTCCTCTTGAATCACTCTATCTATTAAAAAAACCGCATCAAAATCCGTTGCGTAGTTTAAGCATACAAAGGGACATAGGGACAGAGAAAGCGACTTTGTTTTATACTATGTAGTGATGATGAAGTAAAAACTCACAAAGACCCACAAAAATAAGATAGGAAGAGCTTACTTTTCATAGTATGTTTTGTCATGGTCGTCACACGCTTGTTTCAGTGTTTGATGGAAGTGCACCGCGTCCTCCTCATTCAGGTAGTATGGTGTAAGATCTGTGCCGCCGCCGAACCACCACTGCACTCCTACAAAATATAATAGGAGGATTATATTATATAATCCATACAAATTTGAGAACGAAACTAAAATATGAATCAATTTAATTCCATTGAGAATGCTATTAACATAGCTACAGAAATGTGTACATTTCCCAAAAATATAAGTTAAAAATCTATTAAAAAATAAATACTCAAATTTAAATTTTGTATTGCTTTCATGTGTAGGTACAACAAAAAACCCGGTTAGGATACGGCAACATTACTATTACATGACAAAATAAGCATTAGTCAAGATAGGAGTAAAATAAATATTTATAGATGAAAATCTTACCATCTTTATCCCGTACTTCGAAGTACCGGTAGTTGAAGTGTATGGTAGGCACCATGGGGTTGCGCGGGTGTATCACGGCGCTCACACCAGCCGCGAAGAATGGAAGCTCAGAATTCTGAAGGTTCTTCCCTCTAAAAAATATATTACGTATTAAGAAAATATTAGGATAGGGTGACACAGGAAAGATTAAATATTATTAAGTCGCAACCGCTCTCGCCATTAAATTGGCCACCGCCTGGTGTGACCTGCCGTGCGCCAGCATTAGCGTGTCGTCGGCGTAGAATATAATTGTGAGATAACATTTAATATTAAAACTAATTTAAAATATATTGCTATAATAGCAATAACAATTTTGATACGGATAATTTTAAGAATAAAAAGATGCACCTACTTTTGCTTTGCCGATAATTATATGTATCACGTTAATGTCTTACCTGCTCCTCATTTGCTGCACAGCAGCAGGCGGTAAGGTGCCTGATACTACGGAAATGTTGACTCCCGCCTTTTCGAAGACTCGGCCATCTTGTAACACGCACGAGATCCCGCCGCCCCCTTCCTTACGCATCCATCTGTCCACTTTGAATTTTGCTTCCTGTTATATCAATATTTTTTAAGCTTTAGTGAAATTAACTAAAATGTATTTATTCATCAAAGCATACTGGCAGCTTACCCGTCTTGTGTTTCCTTCACTTGGTTGTCAAAATAAGATAATTGGTTGGAATTTAATATTATGAGATGGCAACATTTATTATTAGTGCAGGTGTTTATGTTTTAGAGATTGATGCATTCAGCCAATCAAATCAAGTACCTAAATACTTTCTCTCAAGAGTTATAAAAAATTAAGAGACTAGGAAGATATTAACATTAGCTACTAATTCCTACATAATAACAAAAATAATTTCAATAGTTTCATACCGGAGACATTAAAAACACATCATTTTCAAAATCATATTCATCTGCAGTTTTTTCATCTTCCCAAGCCTACAAGAAAAGAAGTCATTTTGTTCAAAGAGATAAAAATACTACTATTCTACAATTTTCTTATCACATATTGCATTGTAAACAATTTTTTATTTATTTATTTTATATAATACTTATTTACACTTTCCTCGTGGCTAATTATTTTATTGTATTCTATACTTTCACCACCACTTAAAATGAAGAATATTCTTATAAGAAAATATAATTTGTTTACAAAACAACCTGAATAACTAGTCAAGAGAACAAATCTAACTAGAGCTTATATCTAAGTACAAAAAAGAAATAAGTAACAAACCGCATCCTCTTCTTTCTCAAGGGCTTTACAAAATTCAGCCTGTATCCGCATGATGAGTAGTTCCATCTGTGTCTTCATGTCATCTCGGTTCCTTTCCAGTTGATCAACAGGTGTAATGGGCTCAGCCATGTAGTTATGTAATTGTATTATTTCCTTCATTTCCACTTTACTTTTTTTATACTGGCTGTATGCTACATATCCAGTACCCAGTATTGCAGCATAGAATAATCTGTAAAAATGTTAGTCTATGATTAGAATGAGAACTTTTTGAATTAGTTTTATCTTCATTTTTGTTTAATCTAATTTGTTTTGTTTCAGGTGTCATATTAATTAGATAATTTGTAATGAATAATGATGATGGTTTGTTATTAGAAATACTACTGTCATGATGAACAACAATGATGAATTAAATAAATTAAAGAGCATTTTATTGACTAAAATAATTTGAATTTCCAATTTGTTACTGTCTGAAATATTAATAGAGAGTAGAAAAATAAACAATGTTTACCTATTCATTCAATTCAAAAACAATCAACTATATTAGCTACTTTAGATTAAATTGTAAATGAATTTGAATCTGATAACAGCAGTACATTGAACAGTTTATTCAGGTGAAATACTGGACAGTACTACAAGTGGTGCTGACCCACTTTGCTTATCTCTTACAGAAAAAGAATTATATTACTGAAAATCAAAGATTTTTGTTTACCTATATACTACCATTCTAGAGTTTTTTTTGTATTGTATTATTGAATTTTGTAATTTATATGGTCAAACAAAGAACTCGTATACTTCAGTTGCTCTCTTTACAATATTTGCATTATTTACAAGATTGATGACTCAATAACCAATCGATCACGTACGCCAAACACACGTAAATAAAAGTGATTTATTCATTACATATAGCCCGCTCTAGGATCGTGGTATAGAGATACCATGAAGTGCGTACAAAGGGTCCAATTTAATTAACCTTTTAAGAAAGAAAAACAATAAAACAGTCATGTAAACACAATACCTGTGAGGTTTATCTCTGATTTTCTTGTAACTCCCAACATAACTCAAAGTTTTCAGAGATCTTGTTATCACTTTGTACGACATATTGTGTTTATTTCGATCCGAAAAGTACTGATATTTAAAGATTAATATTGAAATTCCAAAGAGAAGAATGAAGATTAAATTGTTTTAACTGAGCGAGTGAGCGTGAGCGAGCCGGTTTGACACTTGACAGCTGTGACGTTTTCCACGTTGTTATCATTAGCGCGCCACCCAGTGGTGGCATGCGGAACTATTTAGTTATCAGCTGTGAAATTTTTCTTCCGCAAGACGCGCCTACATGCGCAATATGTGTTCATCTCTTTCCTGAGCGAGGAAGAGAGCATCGATCGCTCGTGTCGTGCTCTTTCCGACCAGTCCGCGGCAGCCTCGCTGACAGCGTGTCGCCAGTGCGCGTGTGTACACCGTTGTCCGGCTATCGATCCGTCAGCGGAGCCGCATTGCCGTACATTCCGGAGGCGGTGCCTCGCCTAGTTTTCGTCGATCGTCGGCGTGGCGGGCGCGTGTCGGCGTCGGCGGCGGCCCGGGGCGGCCCTGCGCAGTAGCGACCAAGTGTAGCGCGGGAGCGACCGACCTTCCTTCCGCCAAAACCGGCTCGCTGTCCGCGGCGGACGGCTGTGATGTAGCCGCGGCCGGCGCGAGCGGCCTTCGGACAAAGGACCCGCTACTCGATTATTCGCGATGAAGAAGTTCACGTTCAAGGGGGTGCTCGACGGGTTCCGCAGCTCGGTGCAGGCGGCCCCGCGAGGCACCGAGCAGGAGATCCAGGAGACTTTACGTCCCGATCACTTCCAAATCAAAAAGGTGAGTGGTTTTATCGCGCGGCGCGGCCCAAGGTCCCACAGATAATGGCGATGAACGGCACGCGAGCAGCGCGGCCTCCGCGGCCTGAGGGAGAGGGGCGACCACGCTCCAGTGCCGGTACCGTATTTATAACAGCACCTTACCTGAGCGCGCGACGTCTGCCAGCGTGCAGCCTCTGTTGTGTAAACTGTGCGCACGCCGCACGTCCACGACATGACGGCGACAACCACCTCCTCTGTGCATTACTGCATATCAAAACAATCACAACATTTCGCCACTCGCCGCTGCTACCATACGTCTATGACTCAGCTTTGTTGACATTTCTTTAGCCAAGAACGTGTACTATGCGTAATCTGACGTTATTTCATAGTCGTCGTGAATGATACGACTGCAATTTTTTTTGTGATGTTGTTATTCACGACACTGCAGCCTTGTCCATTGATGTAATAAGCTATTATTAAATTGAACTGACCACGGCAGGCGTAGAGTGCGTGTAAGAACGATGGAGCAATTTTTTTATATTGGGTACATACATGGTGTCTAGGCCGATATTATTTTTCGTCAGATTACTGATCAGTGGAGCACCTGTAGGCGGTGAATAGCGATCATAATATTGAACTGATAACAGATTAGATAACTGCTGCATTTAATAATACCCATGCTCTCTGCCGTGTATTTTTTTGTTGGAAAGGTTACATGAAAGCCGTTGTTTTACTATGTATTAACTCTTTCAGACAAAATTATCAAAGGAAATTTACGTCGGCAGTTCTAAATTTGAATAATAATTCTTGACACTAAAGAATGCGTAGGAATAGGTAGATGATGATCATGAGGGCCCGGTAGGAACAATACAGTCGCTGCTTAAAAGTTTTCTGTCAAGTACATGATTCCGGGTTCAACCCCTGGGTTAGAGAAAGTTTTTTGGGCACTGATCTAACAACTAGAGTCTTAAACTTCTGGTAAACCGGTGTGGCAGTACTTTTATTACACCTCTGCCTATCCACCTTTGTAGGAAATAACATGCGTGATATTATGTTGTATAATATAACGTAAACTTCCTGAAATCCGGAAAGCAAAGCATTTCCATGTCAAGGTCTAAAATGCTTTACACGGGCAATGTTAATGATCGATAGCGTAAAAATGTAAAGAAACTTGTAATAACGGAGAGCGCACCGCGACCTAACTTTGTACAGGCGTTTCTGTTTGCCTTCCAAAGTCAGTTATTGGGGAAATTTGTGCCTAAAGCAGTCCGTCCATCTGTGCCTGCCAGCCCGCCAGCCCCCGAGCACGGCAAATGATCAAACTCTTAAATAGTAAACTACGTCGCGGTCGTTACAGAAGATGGAATACAAACATTTATTTATGATCGTCCTCCATTGAACATTTAGAATTTGTACAGCGGTATGCTTCTAAAACTTTCCCTTTCTTTAAACGAATTTCGGAGGGCGCCAATTTGCGTGGGATCCCCGGCTATCCATAAAGAAACAAGTTTTACTTAGCTAATTCTTGTCTGAACTGTGAGTTTTGCTTTAAATCTTGAATGGGTCGACGGCCTGTGTGGGGTGGCTGTGCCCTTTTATATTTCACATAATAGATATTACGGGAATATTGACGGGTTTCCTATTCGCCATTGTCCTGAAAGAAATAATTAGCGAATATTTTCCTTACAGCAGTGGTAGCCAAATGCCATTTAGCGCTTGTCTACATGTAGAGTAGAAAACTAAATTATATGGAATTGACGTAAAATTTGACACTGGTCAGTGTCATCCCCATACATTTTGATATCTACTCTCTCTGTAGACAAGCGCTAAAGTGGCGTTTGGCTAAAGGCCCAGGAGTCGTTGCCGTTTGAAGCAAATTTTCGAAGATGTATATTCGGTAGCGGTTACAATACATTGATATGAGATTTTATCCTCGATAACATTCAGTACTTAGTACTGAAGTACGCATTCCGTAGGTGCATATATACTCAGTACCTATAACAGAGAACGTCGGCTGGTGTTTAGTAACGCAGATAAAAGGAAAACAATGTCACTCGGAGCACGTCGCTATTTATTTTTAATACGCTATGTATGATGTAAGCAAACATGAGTTCACAGCTGGATCTGTCCGTCCTCAAAGCCTTAGGGTACGGTGACTCACGATACGTAATAGGATTTATCGACATAGGTACTATTGATAGGTTTTACCCACTGAACTTGCCGATATCGTACTAAATACGTTTATCTTTCGGATAACATTGATTAGGTACTAGCCACTGTCTTTAAAAGGATTTGGATGCGTCATATCCTTTTCGCCTAAAACTGTCCCGAGTAGAAAAATACACTTTTGAAGTGTCCTTACTTACATACATAATTACAATGACCTATTGGTTTAGTAGTTTTAATATCACCGTATTAATGAACAACATCAAAGAATAATATCGAACATCTATGCTGCATTCTGCATCGCTTGCCAATATGTAGTAAATTCAGGCGATAACAGTTTTCCGTATATCGCGGTTATCTTCCACCGCTGCATAGCCATAGAGCTGATAAATATTGCCACCCCACATCCTCTCAATACAACCTTTTATCTTGTGAACCAAACTACGGAAAAATCAATGATTGATGCTTTATTTTCACTTTACTAAACACCGCTGAATTGTATAAAATATTTCATCGCACATTTGAATATTATGGCCATTGTCATCCTTAAAGAATAAATGAATAAAATCAATATTCTTCATGTTAATCAGGTTTAGCCAAAGTTAGGAAAGATCCGTGCATTACCGTGATCAAGATATTATGCGTGAAAAAATAAAATACCATTATTTCAACTTTTCTTATAGTTCAACACACTCATAATTAATTTTCAACGTATTATTTACGTCAAAGAAAACGTAAACCAATGCTGTTCATAGTGCAGCGACACAAATAACAGTTTTCCATAACGCTGTTATATGACAGTAACTGTAATTCGCGTAGAGATGTGGCGTACGGAGGAGCAGTAATTATCTCCTGCTCTCCCGAGATAAGTAATTACAGGGGGAATTGGATTTGTCCATTGTTATCTCGGACTTGTGCTAGTGATTCATTTAATTACGAACTGACAGCTGGTCTAGTCGCTTACGTTACATCTTCAGTACTTCATCGTTTTACGAATTTGGTATTTTGTACACGCAATGATCATATAACTAATTCCTCAACTCGGGGAAAATGTATTACATAAATCGTAATTGTTATTAATAAATAAATGTTGTACACTGGTTGAACAGTGTTCAAGGTAAATAATAAATCCATATATATGCACCTAATTCTTATCGGAATAAATCCAATGTGAATTTTCCTGTATCAATCAGAATGACGTGCTTAAATATTTAAAATAAATATAGTAACTATCAACGATTGTATCTTCATGAATAAAGGTACCGTAAAATTGTAAGTGCATAGAAAATGATAAAGGCGAAGTAAGAAAGCGGTTGAAAAATCAAGTAAAATAAAATACTTTTCAAGGTTCCATTGTACCTATTTCATAATTTCTTTAATTTAAAGCCAAGAAAAGCGTAATCTAGAGAGCGAAACATAAATAACTAATTACAACAAAAATCAAATAACAGGTACAAAGTTCGTCTAATACTAATAACACATAATGGCGCTGGTAACTGGATGTTGAATATTGGACGTGTAAAGTTCCATATGTTTCACAGGACCGACTATTACGTATAATTATATAAATTATACAATCTAGGTTATAACTTAATTAAGGATTTTGTCGCGATAAATAACACAAACTTGGACTTTGGTGACAAGTCATTTTTCATGACGCATGTGTATGGTAAGCCATCGATAAACTATGTCGGTCTGTCTGTGTGTCATGATTAATCTGGCTGTTGTGGTCCCTGTCCGAGAGGATTCGTAAACGGTTGGTGAGGATTACAAGGCTTTTGCGATGAATTACAATACTCCGGTATGGTTGCTACGGGATGTTGTCTCTGGCTGCAAGCTGCCATATTGTTTGACACGGTGACATTTGTAACGTGTAATTGTTTCCTTAAAGATAATAGAGAAAAGCTTCTATTTTCTGTAAAATTATCTGCAACTTTGTTAAAATTTCAATGTTTATCTAAAGAGTCAATTAAATTATCTAAATAAAACAATATCATTGAAAACAAGTAATTGATATCGTAAGGTGCCGTAAGATTATTACGCCATTTTAGCGATAAGACACGTTCATTGATGATATTTGTTTATAATGTTAAT